CCCCCCACACACATAAAATATTCCTCTACTAAAAACCCTGCAAAATCCTTAATAATAGTAGATTATTTAAAATTTTTCAGAGAGGAAGAGTTTTTCTTTTTTATCAAATATATTCCTCTTTCTAACTCTCAGAACAAATTTAATCTGACTACTTTGTTAATTAAAAAAAAGAAACAAAGTATAAAAAGTGAAGCTATCTCTTTATAAATTAAATATTTTCTTAAACATTTTTATTCTCTCCTCTCTGTAAAAATCATAATCTTTCAAGGATCATTTTTTAGGGTTTTGTTGGCTGAATTGGGTAAAATTAATAGTTAAATAGTTAAAAACTTTAAATATGTACAGTTTATATTGTAGATATTTTTTAAATCGGGGCAAATAATACAAAATTTAAGTAAAATCTAAAATGAGTTTTTAGCTTTCAAAATTTATTATCTCTTTTAAAAGTTTTATTTTTATTTTTATTTTAGTATATAATTGTAACTAGGAAATTGACTATTTTATCTCTACATTAAAGGTGTGACATAATTTACACATTATTAGTTTATTATTTAACGGTTATCAAACATATTTAAACAATTTTTCATGGGTGTTTATTTTCTAAAAAAAATATTTTTTTCCCTGCCCCTTTAATTTTCCCTAAAAGTAAAATTGGGGGAATTAAATAATTTACCCTAAAAGTAAAATTGGGGAAAATAATTGGTTTTTGGGGTTAGAAGTATTGAAAAGAATGAAAAAAACTTGTCTTTTGATCTCTCATTTTTCATCCCCCCCCCCCCATTCATCAAAAATCTGTATTTTTTTCCTGCGAGTAGAATCATGAGCAAGCCATAAGAACTATGGTAATATTTAACTTTAGTTGTTTTTGCTTTACAATGCAGGTGAAATAAATATAAGTATTAAAATAGGTTTTTATCCAAATTTATTTATTTTCTCTCTTGAGTCTCACCATTGGTTCTGAATATTAGATAATAATTTTTTATACTTGGTTGGACTTAGCAACAACAGCTGTTAACCCCTCCCCCCTTTTTGCTTTCAGCTGCCCCCCCCCCCTTCCCACCCCGCTACTTTTTCCCCCACAAAACCGGAGCATCCCTCCCCTTTTCCTTCTAGCTGTACAAGCAGCTGAGAGCGATAAGGGTTTTCAAAAAAAAATCTAAAAATAAATTCCATTAAAAATATTTGTTTTAAAGCTTGAATTTTAACAATTTTTCCCCTCGATATTTGAAAAGTAGGAATATTTATCCCTGTTTTCACCAGCTGTATCCAGCTCATACAGTATATCCTACACGCCTTCCCTAGATACAGAGCAAGCAAACTTAAGAAACTCGCGGATTTCTCAAAATAATATTTAGAAACTCGTGTATTTCTTAAATAATATATAGAAACTCGCTGATTATGTAATATAATATTTAGAAACTTGCGGATTTTGTGAAATAATATTTGGAATCTCGCGGATTACTTTATATAGTATTTAATAACACACAGATTACTTTATATAGTATTTAATAACACACAGATTACTTTGAAGTTATATTTATCTCGATAAAGTGATAATAATGTACAGATCCAAAAAACGTTCACTAGGCCAGACCCGAGGGGGGTCCAAAAATCGTTCTCTAGGACTGACCCGCACAGAATCTGTTTATTGGTCTGTTTAAACTGTGAACATGCGACTATCTCTTCAAATTATTCATTGAAAGGTTTCTGAAAAAATATCAAAATTGTTTCCAGAAAAGGTCTCCGTTTCGTTTTCCTTATTTTGTTGTGCAAGAGATGCTTCGTGAAGTTTTCCTCGAAAAGGTTTTTTATTTTGTTTTGTTCTTTTTTTTCTGAAATGTTACTAAATGACATCTTGTTTGATTAAAGTTGTTTATTAATGTTTTCTAAGTTTTTTTTTGTATGAAATTTGTTTTTTAATGTTTTTGAATAGTTTTGGAGGTTGTCTGTTTAAGTTGCTCAATTAAACAGAATAACTTTTTTTAAAAGGTTTTATTTTATGTTGTTTCTAATTTGTGCCGTTAATGTTTTAAAATAAAAGGTGTTATTTTAGTGTTAAATTTATATCTTTAATTGAAGTGCTTGAGTAAAAATTCTCTATTAGTTATATATTAGACTACATTTGTTTTTTTAATAAATATAATCATTAAAAGTTTTCAATACGGTTGTCTAATACTTTTTCCTTATTACATAGAAGTTTTTCATCAACCTTGTCTACGTTAGCCGCCTATTTAGGTTGTCTTTTTAAGTTGTCTCTTGTTTTTTAATTTTTTTAAAAATAAAGCAGATAATTTGTCAATTAAATTTATCCAATACAGTTGTTAATAAAAGTTGGTCGTATTGTCTATTTAGGTAGTCTATAAATGCTTCTGTTAAATTTGTCTAATAAAGCTGTCTTGTTAAATTGTCTAGTTAAGTTGTCAAATATAATTGTCGAAATAAAGTCGCCCTTTTAAAGTTGTCTGATAAAGTTGTCTTACAAAGGTGTCTGATAAGGTTGATGTAATTCTGTAAGTAAAGGCGGTTTACTGCATGCATTTGAAATGCAGTTCATAGAACCCAGAAAGTTCAATTGATTCAAACACAGAACCCCAAACCTAGGATATTTTCATTCATTCTTGAATAGTTTCGATAATATTTATATATCAAGTTTCATAAATAAACATTACATAAATTCTTAAAATCTCGGCAGTAGTCTCACGCTTTCAAAAAATTTCTCGAAACGATTAAATTAAGGTTTTATAAAATCCCTTCTATTTAAATAAATATTTTACGAAAAACTTGAAAATAAACTTGGACTGTCGTTGTTACATAAACTGACCCTCCATTTTAAGAGAGGCATACCTGATGAGAAACCACAACTGTAAGAAATAATCTTTCAAAGAGTAGATATTTGATATCACATACTTTCTTTATCTAATAGCAGTGCTTAGGATCCGAATCCGTTGGATCCGCAAGATTTTGGTTTCCTGGATCTTGATCCGCAAAAATATGTGGATCCACGGATCCGGATCTAAGGGGCAAAATATCAACCAAAAACTACAAAAAAATAACTCGAGAGATTATAAAAATTTCCTGATTTCTGAATGGTTCATCAAGTTGTAACTTAAAAATAAAAAAAAATTCTGCTTTTTAAAAAAAAATCAGTAGATTAAAAAAACTAGATCCAGATCCATTTTTTCCAGTGCGGATCCAGAATCCTGATCCGCATCAAAATTAAATGGATTGTCTTAAAGATATCGTTGTGAATCGGACATACCCTCCATAAATGGCGAGTCACTTGAAATTACGTCTACAGTCCCTTTCAGACAAACAACCGTGAAATTTAATCCAAGTAATTAAGAAAAAAAAACTGGTTTAGTATTAATCTAAATGTAATTACCCAATTATTAGTTTTCTGCTAGTGTCAGATTTTTTTTGCTTTAAGTTTTTATATTAAATTATGAATACTAGAGGAAAGTGATAACATGAGTATTATTTCGAATGAAGTTAAAGTTTATTAGTCTACTTTAGATTCCAAGAAAATATGAATCAATTTTGCATTGATTCAATTATTATCAAATGTTTTTTTTCTATGAGAAAATGTTCAGACCTTGATTCGTAGAGCTCGGGTGTTATTAACAAAATTCTAATTTTAGATTTTAACACACTTTTTTTGTAAACGTATTATGATCCGCCATTTAAGAATTGCTTGAATAGTATCAAATTCTCTATTCCCTGATCTTATCATTGTTCCTGTATCATAAAAGTGCAAGTCACTTGATCAAATAAAAAACAAATGCAAGTAATCGATTTTTAGCTAGATCGATATTTATATCTCATTCATTTATAAACAAACAAAGGTTTTAAAGGATAATGTTGTGAATTTGACATGCCACAATAAAATGTCATTTGAAATTATGACTTCAGTCATCGGCCTTATAGGTGTTTTAGTTTTCCGCAAAACTTTTAACATTTTTTAAAAAAGGTTTTATAAGTTTTAATTATGTTGTTTTTGATTTCGGTCAAAATATCGATTATTTATACAGATAATTTAATTTTCAATTTTGTTGAATAAATCTGTTAATTTCAGAAGAAATGTAAAAAAACTGGTTCGGCAAAGAATCGGTTAAACTAAAGATGCGGGGTAGCATCCCTCCTCTTCATGATATACGGGTCCCTTACAGAACACCCGCTATCCAACACTGAATTCAGGGCGCTTCTTCAAGCCTCTCTGCGATTTTACAGACTCCACAAGTTACTTATTATTTTATTTAAGAACGAGAGGAATATGTGGCTCAAGTGTTCAGTAGGGCTTAAACAAGTAACCTAGTTTTGTGAAAAAGAAAAACATGAAAGTGAAAATATGATAATACTAAATTTAATTTATTTTACCCCCGTGTTAAATTAAGTGAAATAGTTGAAGAAAATCGGGGAAAGTGTTGTTAAGTTTGAACTAAATTTACAAACTATTAGAGTCCGGACAGTTCTAATCGAGACGAGCCTTACAATTTGCAATGCCTAAAAGGTATTATAATGAATGATGAATTTTGTCGTCATTCCTTTGAATTCTAAATAAAAAATTAAATGTTTTATCACCTTTCTGTTGTTTTCATTAGGATTTTTCTTATATAAATTTCATTCTGCTCTTTACTTCTTAACCTTTCTTTCATTCTGCTCTATACTTCTATACCTTTCTTTCATTCTGCTCTATACTTCTATACCTTTCTTTCATTCTGCTCTATACTTCTATACCTTTCTTTCATTCTTCTCTATACTTATATGCCTTTCAATCTGCTCTATACTTCTATACCTTTCTTTCATTCAGCTCTATACTTTTATACCTTTCTTTCATTCTGCTCTATACTTCTATACCTTTCTTTCATTCTGCTCTATACTTCTATGCCTTTCAATCTGCTCTATACTTCTATACCTTTCATTCATTCTGCTCTATACTTCCATGCCTTTCAATCTGCTCAATACTTCTATACCTTTTTTTCATTCTGCTCTATACTTCTATGCCTTTCAATCTGCTCTATACTTCTATACCTTTCTTTCATTCTGCTCTATACTTCTATGCCTTTCAATCTGCTCAATACTTCTATACCTTTCTTATATTCTGCTTTATACTTTTATACCTTTCATTTTGCTCTATACTACTTTATCTTTCTTTCTGCTCCTCACTTAGAGGTTTTCTTTAATTAAATTGATGTTGATTACTTTATTGTTCAGGGACCGGAGTCCGAATTTAATGAATTTGAGCCGCGTCTCAAATCCCCCAAAACCTGGGTTCAATTGAGCGCCGGCTTAAATCTTGAAACATTGAATACGATTTTAAGTGGAACCAACCATATTTGGGCCGCGACTCAAATTCTTTAATTCGGCCTCGGAATGAAATAGATAAGTGGTTGAACTACGTAGATAAAATTAAATCACATCTCTTAAGCTTGATGCCCAAGATCGAGAACTAGTTGAACTGGTTTTTCGTGGTTCAACCACTTGTAAATTTGGTTTTAGATAACTTTTTAAATTTTTTTGTTCAGTTAGGACAAGAGAGGATGACTACTACCATTAAGGAATTGGTCTCAAAGAAAAAACGTCGGTTTGTGCAGGATGGCTTCAATCTCGATCTTACATATATCTCAGGTATATTCAGGGGGTGAGATCCCCTGACCCCCTTCCCTCCCCCTCTTCTAATTGTAATTTCCCAGTACTAAGGGTGATGATCCGGATTGGCAACATTTAAGCTTCTGAACGCGGAATCGTAAGAATATGTTGTAATCTCGGGTTGCAATATTTTAACCAAAAATTAAAACCTTTATTGCGTCAAACACACATTTCTTGACCAATAAAAGTTCATTAAAACCTTCCTTAACATTTAAATGTCAATTAAAAAAAAATAACAAAAAAAAAAGAAAATCTCAAATTGTTTTTTTGTGTAGAAGAAAAGTCAATTTAATGAAATATTCACGAGCAATATTGAGTTCAGTATCCATCCAGAATCCTTATTCCTTATCCACATCAAAACAGAATGGAATCAATTTGAATGTTGTATAATTTACAGCGAGACCCCTGAAACTGTGGAAAAGGAAGACGACATTTAAGCAAGTTTATATTTATTTATGTTATTATCGAGAAATACACGATTTACCAATAGTTTAAAAATCAGCTTTTAAAGTAAAATGAATCGTACAATACTCTGCTGTTGTGGGTCATTTCATTGTACTAGATGCAATCCTAATTGACACTTACAGTTCACTTCTTATTGCTCCAGTTTTATGGGTCCCATCTTACTAAATTGACTTGACATTTTTTAAAATTAATTTTTGTTTTTTTTAGACCGAGTTATCGCAATGGGTTTTCCGGCAACGTCAGTCGAAGCTATGTACAGGAATAAAAATATTCTATATCAATAAAAAACTAAAACAACGACAAAGAAATAATAATATCAATTTTCTCTCTTTCAGTGCTTTAAGAAACATAAATATTATTATTAATTTTCATGGGTTTGGTTTTTTTTATCTCCATAAATGATATTGGCGTGTTTCTAATTTGTTCGCAAATTGTTCAATAGCGTTGTATGCTTAACTTGATATCTGGCCCGATATACAACCTGCTGATTTACTGATACACTCTGTTGTACTTGGTATAAATGCATTTTGTCACGTAACAAATGCATTTCAAATCTTATAAGTCAATCAAGTCTGAAAATGGCGTAAGAAGGTACACACACAGGGAGCGACAGTAAATAAAAGAATTTAGTTTTTCAAGGGACCTTTGCCTCAAATACGATTCACAACAGTACCCTTGAAGCTGTTTCACATTATATATTAGAAAGGTAAAGAAAGCATCGTTGTGAATCGGTGATGGCCATATTTAAATGGAGGGTTACTTATGGGTGATTTATTTGGGTTTTCGTATATTTGCGTTGCCTGATTTGCTCAATCTCGAGCATACCCACCGGCAGCGCTCGGTCCCCTATCGCAAACTAGTTGCCGCTCCCGGTCCTTGACCTACTTCAGCCTGCGATTCATGAAAATGCCAATTCCCAACCACAGATAAGACTTAAGAGATCGAAGGGTTCAAGATCTGACACCGCGAGCTTTGAGCTATAGAGAAGAAGGGTTGTAGAGTTTTCCTCCTTTTAAAAAAATCTCTCAGATGTTCGATGCAATTTTTTAAAGGTTTATTCACCGGATTTTCGAATATTAATGATTTTAAGAGGAAATAAATTAATTAGAGTAAAAATACTATTTTAAAATAAAACTTATTTCCCACTTAAAGCGAGGAAAATTTAAAAAGAATTTATATATATATATAAAAATTTGTAATAGGAACAAAATAGAATTTTTCTGTCCATTAGGAACAATATGGACGATGTCAGAAAAATGTTGGAACAGAAGCATAAGGTGGGTAACCATTTAATCCTGAGACAAAATTTAAATAAGTATTTGAATCACAGAGAGGTAGTTGAACCACTAATGGAAAAATTACCAAATTATTTGAGAAATCTTTTTACTACTTCAAGTCAGCGGTCCATATAATTCCATTTTTGATCCTGACTGGGATCGGGGTTGAAATTAATTGTGAACTTAGGCAAACTTTTTGGTGTACTTGTACTTTACTTCAATCACATGTACCGCATTTGGGGTGTTAAAAGATGTAAACATTAGTAATCAATACAAGAGATAAATTATGATATACTGAATAATTAATAAATAAACACTCCCTTGCAGTTTACCATCTGCAGTATGGATTTTTTTACATACTTTCAATTGTTTACAATAACAACATGGTTAATTTCTGCCCAAATATTAATTAACCAGCATTTGGGATCGTATTGGTTGGAATTATATGGAATTATATGGACCCCTGCTTTAAGAACAGATATTTAAAAAAAGATAATTCAGAATTAAACAATTGATCAAACATTTTTTAGGACCATTACAAGTTGTACAACCTGTGCAGTGAAAAATCCTACGATCCGCAAAAATTTCAGGTTCAAAATTTTTTTAGATATGCAATTTTACTTAATTGTTCGTTTGTCTGTAACTTAAGAAATAACATGACTTACATGCTCGCATTTTAAATTTTGCTAATTTATTAGATATTTTTTCATATTTCCACTAACTTGTTGATATTTCCTCTAACTTGTTCCTACTTTCCTCAAAATGGGTGACTTGAGTTCCATCATGTTTGTTTACTTTCTTCTGAAATCAGGTGTTTTAATTTCTTCTGAAATCAGGGAGTGTAGATTTTTCATTTTCAACAATGATTATATTTTTAAAATATAACGAGTAAAAATGGGTTTTAAATGTTCAGATGGTTGAACGAGGACGAGAAAAATGTTGCTGTTGTACACTGTAAAGCCGGCAAAGGACGAACAGGTATAGGACTGAACAGACGAACTTGACGAAATTGGACGAATATTTTAGGGACTGTCGACGTAATTTCAAGAAGTCCTCCATTTTAAAAAGGATACTCAATTTTCAGCGGTGAAAGATATTCTTATTATTGTATACATCTTCATTGGTTCTAAGCGATACAACGAAAAATTAACAGTAAAACAAAATCATAGGATTTAGTATAGAATTGTCACGTGATACAGACGGAATTCACGTGACCAGTATACTGCATGCCATTGGCTGAAGTTCTGGTGACGTTATACGGACTATATAATAATATTCCCAAATTATTATTAAAAATGCCAAATAAAAATTAAAAAACAACAATATGAGCAAGCCTGAGATTCTCAGGCTCCTGTGGGATAAAATCGGTTGCTTATTTGCTTAATATGATCTGTTTAAACCTACTAATTTTATACAAAATTGTATATATATGAGATTTCCAAATTATTTTTACAGTTTTATATCAGTTTCTCGAGACAGAAACATCAAATAGATGACTTATATGTATCGTTCAACGCCTGAGATTCTCAGGTTTCATCCTATACCCCTTTTGATTTTTCCTTTACAGTCCCTTTAAATTCGGTTAAAAGCGAAAAACAGAAAAGGACATCTAAACAAAGTAATTTGATCAACGTAAGCTCACGTTGGGGAAAATTGTACGCGGGGAACTTTTAAAATTTCTGAGATCTGGAGATAAAAGGTGAAAGATGCACATATATTACGAATATTCTAAATCTAATTAGACTTTTTCATGAATCAGTGAAAAACAAAAAGTAACAAAATAAACAGAAGAATATGAGGCGTTTCACCAGAAATTGACCAGATAAAGTCTGTTTTAACTGGTATTTCAATAAAAAGATTAAAGACTTCTAAGATAACATTTTCACAGGCGTATGAAGGATAATCTTGATTTTCTTAATGAAAATTTATAAGTCTTATTGTGAGCCCTTTATAAAAGTGACTGAACTGGATTAAACATTAAGCCAAATACTCAGATAAAGGGTTTAACAGTGAATCATGTATGCAACTTCTTATATAAATAGTCGCTTGATAATACGTCAAAAGAGATTGAAAGATTAAAATGATAAACATGTATAAATGTAGACTAGGCAGTGTTTAGCTTAACACATTTCGAGTTTATTGAGTACATTGCATTAACAGTCCAGATGTGCTGTTATCTGAGAAGATTTTTATAGATTTACCAGGCGCACTTATTACTCGTTTCGTTGTACACCCCAGTGTCCATGTGTGTAGACAGCTACTAATGCTTGATTTCTGTGCGAGGGTGGGATAACAATTCTGTACAAAAAGATTCAGTTTCGAATTTTTCGAATTCATCTTCTAATAAATATATCAACCAGAGCTGAAAACTTTAGAATGGTGGATATCGGGATTAATGCTTGATCCTCTCTTTTTGATAATCTCAAGATTAACATAATCTTGCAAGATTATCTTAAAAGTGTATGAAAAACGATACAATTCAAATTAATATTTAATCATCTGAGAAACTGTAGCAGCCAATCAGAGAAAAGCGGGCAACCAATGAGAGAACAGGAATATTCTCATTGGAGAAAACAATTAATGGATATCCAAGGAGAGAGAAAAAGAGTGGATTAGGACAAAAATGAAAAGTTTCCACAGTGGATATTCGGATCAAGAAGTCAGGATTAAAGTTTATCCATTCTAAAGTTTTCAGCTCTGGCTAAGTTTTGATTGAACATTTTGGGAAACGAACAAAATAGGTTGAATTTTTGATCAGAGCTGGGATTTACGTTGAAGACTTAAATTCCCATTCGGTTGATCTTGAAATCCACTGTGGGCATTTATAATTTATAGATATAAATAAAGTAGATATAAATAAAGATTGAGATCAATCATTGATCCCGATATTCCAGCTCAGTTCTGCACTTTGTAATAGAAAAGAAATTCTTGCTTAAAAAATAGTGTACACAAAACTGATGTAAACAAATTGGCCCTATACAGTATACACGGTGTACTGCATGTATACAATAACACTGCATATTCACAATGTTAAAGAGATTCAGTTTTTTAGAGAAACTTATCAAGCCAAATACTGCAAAGTGCTGAATTCTCATGAGACAAATATTTGAAGATTTTTGTGTTAAAAAACATAATTTTCGTTTTTCTAAAAAAGAGTTTTTTTAGGATTAATGATCTGCGCTTACCTACTTCATAGTAGAAAATTACTATCCGCTGAAGAGGTAAGGTTTTTTTACATGGTGGATATTCTTNACATCCCTTTTCCCCCAGAAGTTCTGTAAATTGAGAAAAGTTAATAAAATTTAAAGTATCAAAATGATTTAAAAAAATTCCTTTTGATGTAATTTCTCCTTTGTCTCCCGCAGATTTTCAATATAGTTGTTAAAAAGTAAACCTCTGGTAATTTATAATATTATTTATGTAATATCTATTTATTTCAATTCATAATTGCTTCTTCTTTATTATATTTTCTTTGTTTGTAAATTTTATATTTTTATTTATTGCTGCTGATTCTACTGAAATATTGTTTAGCACGATAACACAAATTATGTCAATTTATGAGTTTAAACTTAGTGTTCTTAGTCTTAATTAACCTTGATAAATGCTAATTAGTGGATTTTTTACAAAACCTTAATGATAGTAATCTTAGTTTAGGCTCATTATGCAATAAATTTAATAAACCTTGAGATGGAATAAAATTAGGATTTTAATATTTTTATTTTTAATTACATTTACAGCACAACCGCAAAAAAGAAAACAAACAAATAATTATCAAGGTGAAAGCCCCTTATCCAACTTGAGTATCCATTTTTCTTTCGTCACATCCTTTTTCCCTAGCTCCATTTCATTTTTCCTTTGCCCCTTCTCTTGGATTGACCCTTCTCCTATTCCCTTTGCTTCTTTTCCATTGTCTCTAATTCTCTTCCCTCTTTTCTGTTGTCCCATCTCCTTTTTACTGGCTATATTTAAATAAACTAATTTATGTGTGTCAGTTTTAATAATGTTTGTTTAAGGTGTTGAGCTTTTATGGTTTGGCTCGAACACATGACGAGAAGGGGGTAACAATCCCCTCACAGAGGAGATATGTAGACTACTACGCAGCTATGGTAGGCAGGGGGAGGGGATGGGAGGGGACTAGTCGGGGAGAGGACTAGTTTGGGATGAATGGTGGAATTGGAATTATGGGGGATTGGGATGGAGAGATTGGTAAATGACGCAATAGGAATGTATTGGGAATTTGGAGCGGGGTAAGGGCGGTTCTTGGGAATGGGATGGTATGGAAAGGAAAGTAAGTGAACGGGGAAGGCAATATGGAAAGGAAAATGATCAGGAAATATGGAAAGAGAAATGATAAGGGAAAAGGGGAAGGGAAATAATAAGGTAATATGGAAAGAGAAATGATAAGGGAATACGGAAAGGGAAATGAGGGAAATCTAAGAGAATAGGGAATGGAAAATGATAAGGGGTAAATAGGAAAGAGAAGAGAAAATAGGGCTTTACTAAGAAAGCTACGGTCGTAATTTTTTGGTACTTTAATACAAGGCTTTCCTTTTTTGAATAAAAACAAATTCAATTCTAAAATAAATTGAAAGGACGCAATTATATTGTCAACAATTATTGGCTTCCATTGATAAATGTCTAGACATGTTTTTATTAGAAATTGTTTGTATTATTAACCTGTTAATTAACTTTTTTAACAGAATTGAATGATACGCAAACAATTGGTGGAAACAATTAATTAAGGGTGTAAATAATTGTTTATTCAAGATTTTCATGAATAAAATTCTTTTCAGAGAATTTTAGATAAATGCTGAAAAAAAATATTTTTTTCTGGTATTTTTTAATAGTTTTTACGTTGAATACTTAATTTGAAAATTACCAAAATTATTGAATATTTTTTATTACATTTAATAATTTCTAAATAATTAAATGATTTCTAAATCATATAATAATTTCTAAATCATATAATAATTTCTAAATCATATAATAATTTCTAAATCATAGTTTCTAAATAATATAATAATTTCTAAATCATGTAATAATTTCTAAATCATATATTAATTTCTAAATCATATAATAATTTCTAAATCATTAAATAATTTCTAAATCATTAAATAATTTCTAAATCATGTAATAATTTCTAAATCATATATTAATTTCTAAATCATATAATAATTTCTAAATCATATAATAATTTCTAAATCATAGTTTCTAAATAATATAATAACTTTTAATTGTTATTTGTTTGTTCAGATAAATGAGAATCTACAATATAGTCCTGTCAAACTTTACCTTTACAGTTTCGTAATTGATCCTCTACCCGCACTTAGTCTAGGTCTACAGCAGGTATTTCATCTTCTCCGGGCTGTTATAAACTATAATTTCCCTTGGGATGTTCTCTGTGATGTTTTAAATTTTAATTTCCCTTGGGATTTCCTCCGGGGCTCTTATTAACTATAATTTCCCTTAGGATTTTCTCTGGGATGTTATAAATTTTAATTTCCCTTGGAATTATTTCCGGCTTTTAAAAACAATAATTTCTCTCATGATCTGTCTCAATTGGGTACATTCTATTTTGATACGGGCTCTGCGCCGTAGAATATATAAATATATATCTGAAATATTTCATCGAGTGTTAAGAATTTCTTTTCAAAGCAAAAATATTGGATTTTTATTTTTTGCCTGAGTACTTTCTTTATTATTATATTATTTTGAAAGTCTTGATGATATTGCATTATTTGACACAGAACTCGTGTTTTTATGTCTTTCTAGACAAATATAGTTAAAGGACTCATTTCTTTTAATTAGGACGGTTATATACAGTTCGAGGTTCGACAGACAAGAGTTCGACCCTTTACCAGCGAGGTTTATCAGGTTCGAGTTCGAGGTTATCACCCCACCCCACCGATCTTAAAATCATTTATTTTAAAGATGTTCTAACAAAAACGTGTGCAAAGTTGTGACTAATGATCAATACACTACACATTGCACGTCACTTTTTTATACAAATTAATGCTAAAAGCCGATTATAAAAAACAGTTAGGGTGGTTCGCTGAAAATCACGGCCCGCTTATATGTATGCTTATATCTACCGATCTATACTATTCTGGGCTAGTGTACATGTAACTTTGTCGGTGGGCTATGCAGCTGTTATATCTAAGTGGACCCTAGATATTTTTAGGAAATTTCTCAAACCTCTGCATAGCAAATTTTAAGCTTTACTATAAAAAATTTTTATTCTAGCTATTGTTCATTCTATAAAAATAATTTGTACTTTTAAAAAAGTTTGAAATGAAGTTCAGGGTCCAAATTAGAGAAGAACTTTGGTAGATAGTGGGCCCTGGAGTAAGCAGAAATGAGATACTGTAGCTAAAATCTTGTGAACATAGCATTTTCTTCAAAGAGTTGGTAGCATCAAAGGCGCCTTGTTTTCAGAATTCCAAAATGTGGTCTGCCGTTTTTGTACCTTAAGAATTGGCCAAGATATTGAGAAATTTGTTTAAAATTCAACATATTAAATATAAGCAAGGTTGTTTAAATCTTTAGTATCTCCAACAATTTTTATAATACAAAGAAAGAGGCTAAATCTTATCAAGTTTTAAAGACTTACAATGTTTTTCTATACTCCTTTGACATCTTTTAACTTTACGAAAACCAAAGAAAAATTGTAAGTTCCAGGGTCCAATGTCGAACGTACTGCATAACACCCCAGCGAAAAAATTACATCAAACCTTGACTATGATATATCCATTCTATTATATATCCATGCTGAAAATCTTCCAAATAAAGTTTTAATTTGCTTGAAAGAACAGACGCTTGTTCAACGAAACTACGTAGGTAGTTCGATGTGAGCGGGTACAATTTACACTGTACACATTACATGTACAATGCCCACCACCAACCTTGCTATATCACGCTAGTTTCTATTTGTTTTTACCCAGATCAGTATTAAATTTTGGATAATTTAAGGGATAGATAATTATCAAATTTCAGTGCTTAGGATCCGGATCCGTTGGATCCGCAACATTTTAGCCTCCTGGATCCGGATCCAATTGCAAATTGATTTGAATTTAAGGTGTGAACTATAAAATACACATACTTTCAATTTTGTTTAGCAAAACTTTAATTATACTTGATAATACATATTTTTAAGGAAAATTAAATTTAGAAGCGGGCGGGGGGGNACCTTGAAGGTGGTTTTCACTTTAAAATCATATTTTAGCGATTAAACCCCGAAACAATGATAAATTATGAAAATTGTATATCTCCTGTTTTTAGGTCAAACGAACCGACGGCCGAATAAACATCGTCCTACCTCAGCCGCTTCTTATCGTCGGCGATGTTAAAATCGAGTTTATCCAGAAGAACGATGTTTTTAACTTCGGCAAGGGGAAAGGGTAAGCACATGAATGTTATGCAAAACATTAAAAATATTTAATCGTGGACTGTAACATCCTTAATTAATAAAAATGAATTGAATCCAGCAAAAAAAAAAAAAATATGATATTTCGAGTTGTAATTTATGAAGATAATATTAATTTCTTTTCAGCAGGAAGTTTATGACACAGACACACAAACTGTTTCACTTCTGGTTGAACACATTCTTCATAGATCTGGAGAGGTGGGTGGGCGCCAAACTTAATCTTCAGTGGTGTCGGTTCTTCCCCCGGCACAGATAGGGTTAAATAGTTACTGGGTTGGTAGCAGCCGAATTTTTTCATACGGATATATTTTTAAGTATTAGCTTATGATTTTCCATATTTTAATGAAAAATTAGACTTGAAATAACGAACNGGGGGGGGGGGGGGAGGTGGTTGGAAAATAATTTATTATAAAAATATATAATTTCGGAGCTATATTGAAATCATGAAAGACGAGAATATTTTTCCGATTTGTGAATTAATTAAAAATTCATGGCAATAATTCACGTTTCATGTCAAACTTTAAATGTTTAAAATTGTTTCCAATAAATTTTGATTATTTGTGTAAGGTAAGGGAAATATTTTTAATATTGAAAATCATTGATTAACTACCAGCTCAGTACCTCTTTTCCTGTTCTGTGATTAATGATTATTAATGTTTGTTTCTATGTTCAAATCATTTATTTACGAAAAGACAATTTAAAATTTCTTATGTTTTTCTTTCCTTTCCTTCTGACAATCTGAACTTTTTTCAAATCTGAATAAATATCATATTTTATAAATGTCGGAGGCAGGAGGGTGAGGGGGTGCAATCTCGCGCCCTTCCACAACCCCCTCATATAAAATGCGATCCAGTTCCGCCTTTTAATTATTTTCAGCTGCCAGAGATTCCACTTTTTACTAATATCATCTTAACCATTCATCTCACTCACCTTATTTTGAAGAAGCGTCTGTTTCAATAAAGGGACAACTGACGTTATTTCAAATGGCTCTTATCTATCGAGTGACGTGTCCGATCTACAACGGTACCCTTGAAAACTTACCAAACATCAATCATCTTCTCTTTTAAAAATGATTAGTTTCAATTATGGTTTTTCTGTAATGTGACTTCTGCACTTCCGTGTCAGAAACAAAATAGAGGAATTTGATAGAATCAAACTTATCTTAAACAACAATATTTTCTTTTTTTCAAATCTACCTCATCATTGAATCCGATAAATGAGAAATGGTACTGCAGTCTATCGGCATGATCCTTTTTAAATGAAAGATCACTTGAAATTTTAGCAATAGTCCCTTTGATTTACACAGACTTGTTAATTACTACTTTCTTCACTTGTACGACTGTTTCACGAGGTATTTGACGAGAGGCTACATCAATTAATTTTTCATAGATATCCGTAGCAGGAATAAGTATTTCACTAATTTTATGGCTTGGGGATGGGATTTTTAAGACTTCCTTTCTTGAGGTTTGAGGGACTGTCTTTTTTAACGTCTATGAGAGAAAAAGGTTTAAATGAAAACAAAGAAAAAGCAGAAAAAAATCCAAAACTTTAAAATATACCCCCAAGCCTAATAAATGGTATCAAATGTCCAATGTATAAAAAGTGAAGTATTTATTCTGCTATTTTTGCACGTTTTTTTCTAACATTTTCTTTTATGGAACTCTAACTTTATCTTTCTTGTTTTTATTGCTTAGTGACAGTTTTAACAGTTTTGAAAATTTACAATTGATTTTATTCAAATACACAAAACTTTGCAATTAATCTGAAAGTTTCATTATATTGGTTTAATGTTCTAAATAATATAATTAACTTTTTTATTACTTTAATGTTTATTTTATTGCTCTAACGTACATTTATACTGCTTAAATGTTGAAATATTGAATTCGCTTTATCACGATGCTAATTTGCACATTCACCTGTTTTATGAACAGGATTTTTTTAGCATGCTAATAGTTATTTTACATTTTTTACTGTGAGAAAGGGACACATATTTTGCTGTTTACGGCAAGGTCCATAAAACTGTGGATTACTATGACAGTCATTTAATGAAGTTCATGTATATTTAAAGCTGGTTCAAAGCAAATAGTTGATCTAATTTCTTGAAAAATAACCAATTTATAAATTGAAATGGGTACACTGTTCATTGCACAATTGCGGAGTTTCGTGTTAATTGGTCTATTTGAAATAATAACAGTCGTCTGCTCTGCATATTCCACAGTTTTAAAAAAATAGTTGTTGTTTTATGTAAGTGGGGTGTAGCTGAACAATTTTATGGACTGCTATTTATTTGAAAAAGTGATTAATTCTTAACATTGTTATAGAAGTAAATCTTTGATTGCATGCAGTTTTTCATTATTTTGCTTAACCCAAGTTAGTTTTAGTTTTTATTTTGTGTTTCGTTCTGTAGGTGTAGCCCTCTAACTCATGAAATCACAGAACCATCGCCAGAAGAGCTTTTTCATCTAAGTTTGGCGCCCATATGTAGATCCTCCGCTTTAACTCACGAGTCCTTATCCGCCCGCCCGAGCCTGCCGGTCAAACCACCCGAGCAGCCCGGGGATAGAAACTGTCGATCAACCCATAATTCTGGCGGGAACGGTGTGGCGCCGGAGCAACTTCCACCGCCACGGCAGTTGCGCTCACATTTAAGCACAGGTACAGAAAATCGTTTTCGTAAGAAAAGGGACTTTCTTGTGTTAACGTTATTTTGATTGACCCTTAAGTTTTAGACTGCTTAATACCATGTCTGATTCACAAACGTTACCCTTAAAAGCTTCGCTGGAGCCAAAATTATGAAATATCTTTAATTACCGTTTTACACAAAAATGGCTTTCGAGTTTTTCCCCGAGGAATAAGAACAAATATAAGATAAATATCTCTCTTAACATGAAAAAAACTTTCATCTTTCCCATCTTAAATCTTAAAAAGAGTACCAATGTGAATCATGCTTTCAAACGCTTTAAAGTGAGGTCACTTGATATCCTGCTGACATGCCTTTTTTACGTACCTCGGAGTAAAGAATTTTCCTAAAATCTTATATAAGCTCAAATTATATTATTTATTTTCATCATGGGAGGTTTTTAAATTTCTTCTCAGCTTATAGCACTAACTTTTGAACAGAAATTTTGCTAAAACTTGTGTTTTTTCAGGTTCTGAACCGCACACCCCGAAATTTACCGAGGTCGAGGATTTGGTAATTATTTTCATTTTTATTTTTTTGTTTTTTTAAAATGTTTTCCGTCCTGTAAAATTATGAATTTGCTAGGTTTTACCTTCTTGATTTTATTCTGTGTTAGCGTACTGTACAGAAAGCTAAATCTAGTAAATTCCAGTTTTGTAACTTGCTAAACTTTTCACACTTTTGCAAACTATATAGATACCCCCAATCCTAAGCAAAATTTCAAGAAGTTTCAAAAGCTTTTAGGGATGGTTTATTAATTTTTTCTCTGAATAAATTATTTTTTAAAATGATCCAGTTAAGCGATGAAACCCCTTACGAATATTTGAAAAATTATTTCTAAAACCGCTATATTCGCTAATTAATCAATTAATCAAGCAATCAACCAATTAATCATGCGTTTTAAGGAACCCCGGTCTCCGAACGGAAGTTGCCTGGCTAGCATGCAGACCATTCACTCCCACCCTCCAGCTCGTACAGTTTCTATAATTGAACCGATTAAACAGGTACAGTACCAAAGTCAAAGGGGTATTTGTTTTCTTGAAAAAGTATCCCCCACCCTGTTGAAAGTCATTCATCCCCCCCACAAAAAAAATAATATTTCAATTATGATTTTAGTTGCTGATTATGAGAAACTAAATTATTTTTAGTGGAAAATAATAAAGATCAAAAGTCAAAAAAGGGAAAACAACTTTCCTTTGATTTCAAAATTCTCATTTTTTTCACAGCATCGTCAGAGAGATCAAAGAATACACAAACTCCTAGTGTGTTTATATTCAGTTAAAAATTGCAGTACAATTATTTTGTAAACGAAGATCTTCAAACCATGTAAAAACATTTTTTGTTCATGTTCACACTAATTAACTTTTATATCTTTTAAATATTATATTTTTGTGAGCTATATAAAAAGTAAATTTCTGAATTATGGAAAAATAAATCTTCATAGGACGTGCATTGAACCATTCACTTTTAATTCTTGTAAATAATAAATGATTGTAATTAAAAAATATACCTACTCATCGTAAAATTATCATCATTTAAAATGTTGATATTTTTTTATATATACTTTTCATTTATAACGCTATTATTTTGGTTCGCAGTGTTATAAAGTTTTGGACATATTTTTTCCTTTTATATCGCGAAGGTTCTCGCCTTTTAAAGTTATTTTGTCCCAAGCTTAAACGAGTTACAAAATATAATATTAAAAGGCCAGAACCTTCGAGCTACGGAGAAAATTTTAGTCAAAAAACTTTATTGCACGTCGTGCCAAAATGTTAGTTTTATAGATAGTTTTATGAAACGTTTGTGTACTTGTCTGAATGCAGTGGCTATTTTTAGATAAAATAAGCTTTTAACGAAAGCAGAAATAAATATATAAATTTAATTTTAATTTTATTTTCATTTATATTGAAATATCCATAAAAAAAAATAGGAGAAAATCCTGGAAACAATTAAAACTTTACAACACACAGTACACGTGGTACAGCTAATTTAACTTTATAGCACAACGATTACTTTATAGCACGTTTCCTGAGAAAATTCACCATTATGTGAGTAAGAATGATAAAGTAGACTACATTTTTTAACCTATTATGTTTGTAGAGAGCAGAGGTTGATTGTGATAGAGGGGTGAAGTTGATGTCCATCTCTGATGATACTCTTACCGAAGGGGGACACGAGGAAACTACCCATAGGTCTGTACTCGACTCCCCAAGGAGTGAAAAATCAACCCAAATTAGAAATTCTTTTTCAAATTTCAACTGTCGACTAATGAGAGATTATTAAAAACTTCCCAATCTCTGTTTGGTTCTTAAAGTTTTAGCATAAAAATAAGAAACTTCAAAAATTTAGTAGTTCATGACCTGGAGCATTTTCAATGAGGTTGACAGAATCCATATACGCATCTTTTCTTCCCCCTTTCCCTCATCCCGAAAAGAAATAAAATCTCCACCTTTCCCTCCATCTCAAAACACAGACTAATGAAATGTTGGAGAAGTAAGCGTCAAAAAAAAATAGCTATGAATTTCTCCGGAATAAAAGTTGATCTTTTTATTTATTTCTTTATTCAACCCTTGTATTTTAAATCCAAGAAATTAAATCTAATTTTATTTCAGTTCTTTCAATTCGAAGCGTACGCGGCACAGTAGTGTGCCAATGACCTCTAAATCTGGTTTAAGTCATCAGCAGACACGCTTCACGCGAACAATCCCAGGAAAACTCATGTCGGTAAGTTTCAGAATCGCGTCGGTTTGTAAAAATCTCATGTTTGTTGAAAGAAAGCTCGTATCATTTTGTAGAAAAATCGCGTCAATAAGTAGAACTCGAGTGAATAAGTAGAAAATTCAAGTCGATTTAGTAGACACTCATGTCGGTTAGTAGAAAACTCGTTAACTTTAGAAGAAAGCTCATTTTGGCAGAGGTGTGAAATTCTCCTGCCCCCCCCCCCTGGGGGATAGAAAAAAAGACTCAAGAGAAGGGGAAGGGAAGGAAAAGGAGAATAAAGGAAAGTAAAAGGAAAAGGGTAACCACAGAAGAAAGGGATGGGTGGGGAAGGATTTGGAAGGGGGAAAGATAGGGAGGGAAGTGGATAGGTGGTGAAGGAGATAGGTAGGGAGGGAAGGAGATAGGTAGGGAAGGGAATGTGAAGGTTGGGAAAAGGAAGTTTGGGAGAAGGAAGTTTGGGAGGGAAAGGGGAAGATATCAAGGGAAACGGGAAGGTTGAGATGGAAAGAGGAAGGTTGAGAGGGAAATAAAAAAAATAGGGATTAGGGAACTACAAAAGGGACAAGGAAGGTGTGGAAGGGAAAAGGAAGGTAGGGTAGTAGAAGAAGAAGAATGTATGGGGAATGTCGGGAAGGTAAGGGGAAGGGTGGCAGATAAGGAAGGAAAGGGTAATTTAGGGAAGTGAAGGGTTGGAGCGAGGCTCTTAACCTCTTCATATCTAACTTTCTCTGAAACTAGACTGTTTTTCACAAATAATTTTCCCCTATAGTTTTAATGCATTATAAAAAACGTTAAAAAAATGTTCGCTCTCCACGCATAATTTCATTAAAAAATATAAAAGAATACCCTTTACTCCATTTTTCCTAAAAGTCGACATTTTAAAAAAAAATTGCGCCATTAAAAAAATCTTGAAATTTAGTTTATTCAGGTTCGGCTGAAGAAGAATCAGATTGATAATGCGAATAAGGACAAGTTTAACACCAAGTTCAGCGACAACTTTAACGTAACTTTGTTCCTCGTTCGTCCAACAGATCAGACGCTGCAGGACGAATTCTCAAGATCAAACCTCATCTGCCAGGTGAACAATTGAGAGATTGGTTAACTCGTGTTCCGAGGGTTCTGGTTGTCTGATTTTTGTTGATTGATTGATTGATTGAGTGATTGATTGAGTGATTGAGTGATTGAATATCTTCTGATTACTGGAATGACTAAAACGACTGTTTTTCTGCCAAACAGTAATGCAATAAAACTCTGGGGTTTTTTCTGTATTTCCAAAATATATAAAAAATATGAATATATGTTCCAGCAAGGGAGCGGAGGGAAGGTATATCTATGTAGCTCCTGTAGACTAATAGGTTGATTGATTGATTAATTTACATTCCATCGTCCTGAAGGAGTTAAAGGATGTAGCTCCTGCAGATTGATTGATTGATTGGTTTATATTCCAGCATGCTGAGGGAGTTGAAGGAGGATATACCGATGTTGCTCCCGTAGACTGCTGGTCAGAACGAGAGAGCAGTGACGAAGATCAGCCTCGAGAGGAGAGTGGTCCTGCCGAAGTTTTTAACGACGAAAATCCTCGGTTGCATCCCGGCTCCGCGGTATGTCTTTATGTTAAAGGCAGTGCTTAGGATCCATTTAATTTTGATGCGGATCCGGATCCTGGATCCGGATCCAAAGAGCCAAAATAATGCGGATCCAGCGGATCCGGATCCGGATCCGGATCCGGATCCTAAGCACTGGTTAAAGGGAATGTTCGCGAAAATTAAAAGGGGGTATAGGTTGACGTTGAATTGAATTCCATATGGATCGCTACTAATTTTACTTTCATCTGCGTCTGGTTAAAAACGACTCACACCGATGAGCGTAGAATGCTTACAAATTCACGGAGTGGTAGAGTTTTACTCAGATCGTAAATAATTCATTCATATATTTCAATCATTCGTATACAGTTGATATTTTATAATATTTTAATTTTTTTTTTTATTAATAAAACTTAATTAAAACTTGCAAACTAAGAATGAGACTTAATCATGAACATGAAAGTTTGTCTAGCAAAGGCTGGGTTTTTGGATTTTTTATCAATCTGAAATTTAAAAAAATAAATTGTAGTGATATTTTTCCCCCTTATTATTGGATTTGTTTGAATTTTTTTTCGTTACACAATAGAAATGCACAGATAAAGGTATACACATCTCAACGTAATGACTTCTGTTCACTTTAAAACTTGCTTATTATTAACAGATTATTGATATTCCCAGGTTGAGCTGGCCCCGCGGACTGAACCCCCTGTCTTGCACGGCATGGTACGGAACCGGACCGAACCAAGCCGACCTTTGGCCTTTCTTACTCCTGTTACTGGTCCCACTACATGGATTTAAATCAGGCACAATTCAGGTACAAATAGAGAAATATACAGTGATACCTATAACACTGAGGAATGAGACGATATTTAAAAAAAAAATTAAATGTGTATTGAATGTTGTTTTACCAGTGGTTCGAATTTCAACTTGCTATGTAAAATTCTGCGCCTGTACATTTTTCTAAATGTGTAATCTATAATCGTTAAGTGGGCATGTGTTAACAATCGCTGTGGTGTGTGTTCAGATGACTACTTTTAATGTATAGAGACTCGAGGTCGGAAATTTCTATATTTCCTTATCTCAACTAAAAATCTCATGAAAAGTCCTGAAATCTATTAAAGGGTTTCGACAAAGGGTCAAACGACACAGGGTCAAACAACAAAGGGTCAAAAGCGCGACAAAGGGTAAAACAACATAGGGCCAAAAAATGCGACAAAAGGGCAAATTTTTTTTTAATTTTGACATCTGTCATAGTGTTAGTATTTATTTATTATTATTTAGCGTTAGGTTAGGTTAAGACACTTTCTGGGCCGAGCGCTGCGGCTAGGACAGGCTAGGGGGCCAGGCGCTGTGGCCACGGGTTAGGTTAGTTATGACACTTTCTGGGCCGAGCGCTGCGGCTAGGACAGGCTAGGGGGCCGAGTGCTGCGGCCAAATGGTTAATTATATCCATGTCTAACATATAAGATCCATGTACAAAATTGATAGGAGGGTTGCGAGTTTCCTATGATTCAAATCAAAAAATATTTTTATCATTTTGACCTTTTGTCGTTTGACCCTTTGTCTCACTTTTGACCCTTTGTCGTTTGACCCTTTGTCGTTTGACCCTTTGTCGTTTGACCTTTTGTCGGTGAATCCATTAAAGGTTAAAGTGGGGTCTTTTGTGCACAACTAGAGTACATAAAAAATCAACAGACATTTGTTTCCAGAGAAAGTCAAAGCTTCATGGAATATGTTATACAAACCCGTCCAAAATAGACTAAATTCATGAAATTTTTATACTATTCAACATAAATATATAATACTAGCTGTGCTCGGCTTTGCCCGTGGAATAAATTTTTTTCTTCCATTTTGAAAATACGAATGTCACCCCCGAAATACCCATGGGCTCCCTCAAAAGATTAATTCCTTCGCCAATTTTTGGAATATCATGAGAGAAGGGGTGTTAGTTCTTTAAAAGATAATTCCATGCTAATTTTTTCTTTTGTTTCAGAAGTGTTGTACAGTTCACCTGCTGCCATTTCTTAGACATTAATCCCACGGGGTGGATACGTCCCCTGAAAGGAGAGGTCTGTGACCGCGGTCCTGACAACCTTGTGAGACTGACTTTTTTACCTCAAATCTAACTATATATATATAAATATATATAAATATATAACTTCTTAAGCTTCTGTCTTCGAAGCTCTCCCGGTCCACGAGGAAGTGAAAACAAGCGCCTGGTGACGTGATAAATGCGGGAGAAGGCGATTCACACAACTTTGCGAATTTTTGTTGAATTGCCAACCCAAATGCAATCTCTCTTGCCGCACAGATAGAAAAGTTCGTCTAAAATGTATGAAATTATTAGTATACAAGAATTATCTACAAAATCTTAAATATTTGCTGCATTGGGGTTCATTCTGCCTAAATACATAGTTTACAAAGTAATGATTAATGGGTGTGACGAAAATGAACAAGAATATTATTTATTTATTTTCGTTTTGTTTGATATAGTTTTTTCTTTTTTTCTGCAAGGGGTATTTTATTTTATATCCCCTAAACGCTATGGTATAGTTAACTCAAAGCTTTAGTTTCTATAAAAACCACTTGAAGGAGACACATGGATTTTGTATCTCTATTTTTTCCAATGAATGTTGTGAGGGACCTCAAGTTTAAAAATTATTACGTTTTCTGTGATGTTCTATCCACATTGACAGCTAGATAGATAAATTGTATAGTAGCCACAATAGCTGATACCCCCCTCCCTTCTACCACCATTGTAAAATGATATAAATCAGGCGAAGTGTAATTGTTATTTTTTCCCGACACAGCATAGTTTTTATTAATAATTAAAGTTCTTTAAACAATTGTGTAAGTGTAATTCAACTTTGCTCTGAGAATTATCATTCCGCTCCCACTTTACAACAAGTAAATATATTTTGGTCAACTGTTAAGAATTAATTGAAATTGTAAATTTGGTTCAACTACAGAATTGACTGTACAGTAAGTAGACATCCGACAGCTATTATACAAACATTTAATATAATTTCTGAACGCTAGTGGTCAAACTTTTTATTACTGAGAAAAGAGACACCCAGAAACCATTAATTGAACTATCGACGTAATGTAATGCTATCCCCAATAAAAGTTTCATGACTAATTCAAGACTTCTCCCTTCAAATCCATACCTAAGCTACCATGGAAAAGATGTAGTTGTATGTTCAATTCTGAAATTTTTGTTCTTATTTGCTTGTCACTTCTTTAGCAAGAACCACAGTATGGGAATGATCAATTTTGAAAGATAAACAAGGATAACCTCCTTTTTCTCAGATGAATAGTTACCAGGTGTTTATACTGAAACATGCCCCTGATGAGGGAGGGAACCCCGGACGCCATGAGCCTCAGCTATGCAATAAACGAGCCTCCAACATACAGAACAACTTTTTTAAAGCTTGTTTTCTAATGTAGAATGAAAATTTTTAATAATTTGTTTTGTCGTAGCGGCTTAAGAATTATTATAAAGATTCGAGTTATTTATTGATTGTCTTGATTAATCACATATGTGAACTCATTTAGTGGTATATAAGATATATACTAAAGCTAAAAACATTTCTCACACAGAAAGGAAGATATTTGGAGAAATGTCTTTGATTTAGACAATCCTTTGTTTGAAAAATGTTAAGAAATGATACAAAACTTCTAGATTTAAGTTGGACTACAGAAAAGGTATCGCTTAACGTTTAAATCAAAGGTTATAAAAGATGAAATGAAATTCAATGCAAATCTTCTTCTCTAAATAATTTCATTTCCATGTAAAAAATGTCTTAACTTTTCGGTACAACTTTATTAGTCATAATTAGGCACTATTTATTAGAATTGATAAATATTTCTCATCATTGAGAAACCTGTCATGCCACTATGTCGAAAAATTTGTAAAAACTTTGATTTAAACTTATAAAGAAGTTTTAAAAACATTATGTGTTAAACAGGCACATTTTGATGTATTGCGCATGCTCACTTCTGCATAGATGAGGCTCGGTCTGCCTAGGAAATCTGGGAGGCTCGTGTCTGCATAGCGGAGGTTCATGGCGTCCGGGGGATACTAAAGGATTGCCATTTTAGGTAATTATAATACAGAGAGCAACAACCGGTTCTATTTTTTTTTAAAGCAGCCTTCCAATTAAAATCTACTTAAGTTAGAAACTAAAAAGCCTAAGGGGTTTGTTCAGAGATACAAGATGGGCCGATCTGCAGTACAATCTAGAGATGATTTCAAGGATGTACATAGTTAGGATGGCTGAAGCGACTAATCAGAGTTGATTTCAAGAATGTACATAGTTAGGAAGGCAGAAGCAACTAATCAGAGATTATTTCAAGGATGTACATAGTTAGGAAGGCTGAAGCGACTAATCAGGGATGATTTCAAGGATGTACATAGTTAGGAAGGTTGAAGCGACTAATCAGAGATGATTTCAAGGATATACATAGTTAGGAAGGTTGAAGCGACAAATCAGGGATGATTTCAAGGATATACATAGTTAGGAAGGTTGAAGCGACAAATCAGGGATGATTTCAAGGATATACATAGTTAGGAAGGTTGAAGCGACAAATCAGGGATGATTTCAAGGATGTACATAGTTAGGAAGGTTGAAGCGACTAAACAGGGATGATTTCAAGGATGTACATAGTTAGGAAGGCTGATGCGACTAAACAGGGATGATTTCAAGGATGTACATAGTTAGGAAGGTTGATGAGACTAATCAGGGATGATTTCAAGGATTTACATAGTTAGGAAGGCTGAAGCGACTAATCAGGGACGATTTCAAGGATGCATATGGTTAGGAAGGCTGAAGCGACTAAATACCCCAGAAGAATTTCTGTTTCGGAGCATTTTTGAAGTGTTTCCCGTTCTAACCATTCAAATTACGTCGAACTCGACAGTCGACAGCCACATAGAGCCAATGGTAAAATTATGCCTTTTTGTAGTTTTGTATTTATTTTAAGAGATATAAACTTGAATCTTAAATTAAATAATTGTTAGAACAGCGACTAGTATATATATGGACGGTTTCCAGGGAATTTAGACGCATATCTGTTGATACCTATTTCATGAAGTCTTGAAAGATCGTCTTCCAAAATGATTTTTTTTTGATTTGTTATTTTCTGAAGAAGTTTGTGTTCTCAATCTCAAATGAGTGTTACTTCTATGATTTTCCCTGATTATAAAAATTCTGGACATTTTCGGCCAAGTATCATTTTAGAGATAATTTAAGAATTTGATCTAATTTTTTTTAATATTCGATTAAAGTTTAAAACCTTAAAAGATTCAATAAGATTAATTACATTAAAAATAAGAAGGACTTGGCAGAAGCACAAGTAGATGAGATAGCAAATCAGATCAAATTCTTAAATTATCTCTAAAAAAATACCAACAAGAGATAAAGCATTAGATGAAGCAGTAGAACATTATAATAAGAAGAAGTGGTAGGCCAAGAAGAACTATAAGCAGAAGTACAAACATAAAGAGAGGAATAATAAGTTATTTAACATCCTGTGATTTCCAGCCAAAGCTGGTTCGTTCGATTTAGTTCATATTCGTGCTCCCACTTTACGAACGGGCACAATCAATATACCCTGAAGATTTAGTTTATAATGCTATAAGCAAAGCTTCCTCTTTATCACTCAGATTAAAGACTCCTGTCAGTTTAGAATTTATTTGTAGACAGTAATCCAAAAACAGGTGAAAACTGAAATATAAAATAATTTATAAAAATATATACAAACAAGTACGAAAAATGAAATTTTTATAACGCGGCTTTTTAGATTTTATATGTTGGACTTTTTAGGACAATATAGTTTTTATGAAAGAATACAAAAATAAAAACTTACATTACGGTGGGTATCCATTTACATGAGAGCACAGTAGTTCACAGTTTACGTTTCACAGTTCAATGCTTGCATACTCATCAATCGATCAATAATGTCTAAACGAATTATTGATTAACTGATTATAAAAATATTTATATAAATCGTTTACAAACATTTTTTAATTATTTCTTTTAACATTTTCAGAAACAATTTATTTATTCACCTGTAGGACCATTTTAGTTTACATCGACCTACAGAGATTCTCAAACTCCACACCAAGAGTTCTAATTAAATAACAACGTTATTTATTTACTATTGAATTGTTAGATTTCAATAACATTAATTTTCACAAATTGTTCAGTGTTTTTTATTATGTGAAATTGATCTACCTTTCGGGACTTGAAGGCTTGACAAAGTCCAGGTTGAGCACAGCAGTTTACACTGTACTAAAGGGTAGGTTTCCAGCACTGGTTTCAGTTTTCTATAAAAGTTACTTATAGAAAACCGTAGTGTATTTTTGTATGCATACTTAGAAAATACATTTTAGATTTAATACCTATTTAATCTTTGTCGAGAGAAACTTCGACCGTTCAACCTTTACACGCTGCTCAGTCTATAAAAATGCTTTATTAGTTTTTGCATATTTTTTAGAAGAATGTTTTTTCTTCTCTTACCCAAAAGGGAGTTTTAGACCACTGCAGCGCTTGTGTAAAAAGGTTGCCCAAGTTTCGGCAGAAACGCAGCCTCTACTTAGATCTATTAAAAAGGGTTTGTATTAAAATCTTTTTAAATGCATTTTTTACAAATGTACAATTTTTAAAACTTATAAACTCATACCTATATATATTCCAGGTACAAAGATTGTGATAGGTTTATACATCCTAATCACATACTTGTAGTCCAACTACGCGCTTTAAACTTTCTCATTCTTTCTGAAAAAGATTTCAGAAATTAATATTTTCTTTAATGAAAGTTTTTTAAATATAGGATAAATATTGATTAAATATTGGCTAGGTATCTTTTAGATAAAATCCATATAAAATTCATGGTTCTGAATATAAAATGTTTATGATTTCAGACAGTAAACTCAAAAGTTTTACATTTCAGTTTTAAGAATGAATTTTCATTTAAATAGTTTTGAAGATTTTTTGAGTAAATATTTACTTTGACAATTAAACAAGATCAAATATAATCAGATTGAATCTTGCTTCTATATCTTCAATCTTCAGGTCTTGAATCATCTACAGGATCATCCGAAGGGTTTACCGAATCGTCTTCAACCTATACAGTAGAATTTACACATCCTGTATAACAAGGAGAAGATTATGCAGAATAGCATGGCAAAAGTGAAACAGAAGAACAATCTGAAGGACAAACAGTGGAATAACATGTAGAAAAACAAGGAAAATAACAAACAGAGTACTGGGTCAAAAAGAAAAAGCATATATTTAGCAGAATATTGCTGGAAAATAGAAACAGAAGATCAAGAAGAAAGACAAAAGAAGATCAAATGAAAGAAAATGCAGAAAAACAAGGAAATGAACAATGTCAAGAAGGACAAGAATAGGTTCAAATAAAACAACGAGTAAAATAATAAACTATAGAACAGAAAGAAGAAACAGAGGATCAAGTAGAAAGCAGGGGCGGACGTAAACATTATCTCATGGTGGGGGGCAAAATTAAGCGCGCAACAAAAAATCTTGCCGCCCCCACCCCCCTACTAAAATTGAACACAAAGCAGTAAATTCCTATCTTTTATTTGTTAAAAAATATAGGTTTACAAACTCTAGTACTTTCTATCTGTAAAATCTAATTCTGCCCTACTTTCTGTCTGAAAACTCTAGTTCTCCTACTTTCTATCTGTAAATTTTAGTTCTCTTCTACTTTCTATCTGTAAAATTTAGTTCTGCCCTACTTTCTGTCTGAAAACTCTAGTTCTCCTACTTTCTATCTGCAAACGCCAGTTCTCCCACGTTCTATCTGTAAACTCCAGTTCTTCTACTTTCTATCTGTAGACTCCAAATCTCCTACTTTCTATCTGTATGTCACAAAATGCCAGTTTTCCAGAGTCAAGCTTTTTAAATGTTAAAATTTAATTAAAGAATTCGGTTAACAGGGGGGCTCAGCTAAAACAGCCCCAGGCTATTGTGTCCGCCTGCTGCGGAAAATAATATTTTACATATTGTGATTTTTAAAAATTAATTCGTAAATATTGTTTTTTTCTGCAGAAATAAATTATTTGATTTGATTTGAGAAGCTTAACTACACAAAACGCATTGTATTTCTGTCTTCTCTACTAGGGTGTAAGCCACTGAAGCCAGGTCTCTTCAACGCGAGGTTTTACACCTATAACTAACTATTTATTGAAACATAAGGTTACAGGTCAAATAGGGTGACCGGCGTAACGGGTACCCAACTATGACATATGATTTTACAGGTATATTAGTATAATAATGAAGAGAGAAAAATTTTAATGGGTATTTCAGGCAATTTATTTAATTCTATTTTCGTGTGTCTTTCATCCCTTTATGTTTTATTCTTGTTTCCTGTTTCATATCATAAAGTTCCCTTAGGGGTTGGCGCCCCCCCCCCCTGCTCCAGTATCCCAGGGTGGGGCCCAGGCCCCCCTGTAGTCCGCCCATGGTAGAAAGACTAACGAAAGAACAAGAGAAGAACATGCAGAAAAACAAGCAGAGTTATAAAGAAAAGAACAAATAAAGGACAAGGAGAAGATTAAGCAGAGGAGCACGGTATAAAAGAGAAACAGAAGATCAAGATGAAAGACAAATAGAAGAACAAGTAGACTTACAATTAACGACAAAATAAGTAGAAGATTAAGTAGGAAACCAGCAGAAAATCAAGCTGAAGATTAATTAGAAGAAACAGCAGAAAATCAAGCAGAAGATTTAGTACAAAGAACCAGAAGAATTAGTGTAAAGAACCAGCAGAAAATCAAGCAGAGGATTTAGTACAAAGAACCAGAAGAAAATCAAGGAGAAGATTTAATGTAAAGAACCATTAGAAAATCAAGAAGAAGATTAAGCAGAAGAACCAGCAGAAAATCAAGCAGAAGATTTAGTACAAAGAACCAGAAGAAATTCAAGGAGAAGATTTAGTGTAAAGAACCAGCAGAAAATCAAGAAGAAGATTAAGTAGAAGAACCAGCTGAGAATCAAGCAGAAGATTTAGTATAAAAGAACCAGCAGAAAATCAAACAGAAGAAAGAAACAAGAGGAAAACCAAGCAGAAGATTAAGTAGAAAAACTAGAAGTTATAGTGTGAAGAACCAGCAGAAAATCAAGAAAAAGATTAAGTAGAAGAACCAGCAGAAAATCAAGCAGAAGATTTAGTATAAAGAACCAGCAGAAAATCAAACAGAAGAAAGAAACAAGAAGAAAACCAAGCAGAAGATTAAGTAGAAAAACCAGCAGAAGGTTTAGTGTGAAGAAACAGCAGAAAATCAAGGAGAAGATTAATTTGAAGAAACAGCAGAAAATCAAGGAGAAGATTAATTTAAAGAAACAGCAGAAAATCAAGGAGAAGATTAATTTAAAGAAACAGCAGAAAATCAAGGAGGAGATTAATTTAAAGAAACAGCAGAAAATCAAGGAGAAGATTAATTTAAAGAAACAGCAGAAAATCAAGGAGAAGAAGAGGTGAAGGACATACATGAAGAACAAAGAGGAGGCCAATTTTCCTGGAAGACAAGTCAAAAGTATAATTGCAGAAGATGTTAAGAATTTATAGTCATACAAAAGATCAAGCAGAAGGATAAACAGAAGAGACAAATGTCGACTTTATTGAAGAAGATAACATAAAAAACATTTCGCCGTTGTGTCTCAAAGTCTCATTCTTCTTGAGTTAAACTGCAGATTTATACAAGGTGTCCCAATAAACATGGTAATTCAGTGACGAATTCGACACCGTCTTTGTTATGAAAAAGCATTGTAATACCTAATTTCAAAAGCCATAATATTATCATGTCTGCTAGAGTTTATTTAATGAAAACGGTAAATGGCAGTAAAGAGATGTGTCTATAATGTTGTTAACCATTAATTTAAAACCTCTATAAAATGTCGTCTTCAACTTGAATCTCCTGTCGGAGACAGCCAAACCAAATTTTCAGCCCCCAATTCCCTTTGTCCTCCTCCGACGGAGCTTAAAATATTTTCGTTGTTGTGAAATCATTAAAGTTAAGCAAAATATTTTCATAAGAAGCATTAGTGAATTTCGTTAAATATTCAACAAAGTTAAGTTAAAAAAAACGTATTTCAATACTGATCAACAATAAGTCACCCCCGACCATCCTTAAATAATTCGTAAGAATTTTTCTACTATTAATATTCATTATAACATTGTACAAGTAACCATGACCTATAATTTATGTTATTTTTTAGGAAATAAAGATTTTGTTATCGAATTTCTGAGACGGGGTTACTCTGTTGTGTGTATTTGTGCGGCGTATCGGGAAAGAATTGTCCGGGGAAAATATACATCCCCCACCAGAATCCTAACTGGCCTATTATCCTGATTTGTCTAGCGTGTTGCTGTCTTCCGTCAACAAATGTCTCCGCAAGATGAAAAGTAAAGACAGACAAGTTTACTCTGTTTGTATGCTGTAATTTTCTTATTTTACTATGCCGTATGCAGTCAAAACATAAACAAACAAGATGTAAACATAGCAGACGAAAATTTTACGGATTACAGCCAATTACAGCTTTCTCAATAGGTATCACTAATTTAAAACAGAATTATTTTAAAAGACGATATCGAATTCGTCATTATTCCCATGTACAATGAACCCCCCAAAAAAACTGAGGTTAATCAGTTTAAATTGAAGATTTAGAAATCCCCTAAATATGCTTAGTTTTTCGGGGATTACCGTATTTACTGAACACTTTCTATCTCTATCTATCTATCTATCTATCTGTTTGCCTATCTATCTATAGATCTGGTGTGAATAGGTGAGATCTATAAGGTAAAAATCTAAATACCGGTTATGGTAGTTTGACGCAACAAAGTTATTAGCTTAGTCACTGGACACGGCAGCTCCTGCAGACTGTAGGACATGGTGTGTGTAGTGATTAAAACAGTGTTAAAATAACCATTATAACAATAAAACCATATAATCTGAATTCAGATTTCAGTTTGAAACAGGAAAATATGGTGGAAATCTAAGTAGATATATATATAGAATTCGTGACTATTAAAACATATAAAATCTGTTTAGTGTTTTTTACTACGCATAAATTATTTGTTTATTAAGTTATAATTACATTATAAAGCTGAAATGCAATATAATTTGGATTATCGTTAATTAACGATCTACGTATTTTTGTTTTTATGCGTGAAATTTATTGAAATTTTATTATTGTTCTAGCGATTTTTGGACCCCCCCCGCTCCCCATCCTATCAATTTTGTTCATTTTGTACAATTGATCATGTTAATTATAATTCTTATCACTTCATAAAAAAAGTTTCGTTGTTATAACATAGGTCGGTAGTGATGTATACATATAACATATCATGCATTGTATAAAATAACAGGATCAAACCATTTCAATAGTTAGCTATATATCAATCGTACAAAATGTACAAAATTCATAGGAGGGGGAGGGGAGGGGGTCCAAAAATCGCTCTCTGGGAAATTACGAAACTGAAACAATAAGTTTCTTCTGCAAAGGTTTAAGAATTGAATTCATGAACGTATCAATATAGATATGAAAGAACAACAAACCTGAATCCAGTTCGATCAGAACACCTTAAAGATGAATAAACCTGTTTAAAACACCAAAGAATAGTTTAAATACATGATCTTAATTTTATTATAATTTAATCTGGTTCCCCCCCCCCCCCCCTTCTTCGTTCTAGTTGCGCCACATTTTCAAGATTCTGGAAACTATCTAATTTGAACATCGAATGCTCATAAGATTGCTTAATTATCCTTTTCCTGTCTGATAGTTTTATGGGACTCACTGTATTTCACCAAAATATGAATTTTATCTTTTGCTCTTTCATGATGATTTTTACCCAAAACCTCTTACGTTTAGAGTTATTAGATGCCACAATGAAAACCTATTCATTTGTCATTATTCTGCTGGAAAAATAAGAAATAAATATTTTTTCATAAACAAATATTGAATCTATTTCAGAAGTTCAAAATGAAGATATTAGTGTTTGTTCTTCTCCTCTTAGCTCTTGAGTCGAATGGGCGGAGGGGAGGCGGAGGAAGTAGAGGAGGCGGAGGAAGTAGAGGAGGTGGCGGAGGCTTCTTCAGCAGATCTAGGTGATTATGTTAACTAAAACTTTTTGCATATTTGAATTTGTCTTGGCAACTTTATGGGTAATTTATTAAAAATAAATTGTGAGTATTCTATATAAACATGACAATTTTGTTAATGATATCAACAACAACAAAAACAATCAATTAAATTACTTTGATTCAGAAGTAGCAGCAGTAGTGGTGGTGGTTCGAGCTATCCTAAACAGCAGTGGGGAACTGCAGGGAATTATTTTTATTTATAAATATATTTTTTTCCAACTACAAAGCACGAGATAATACAAATAACAAAATCACAATTTACTATGAAGTCTTTACCCGCCTAACCAGAAGTAGGTTGTTTTAATTGGTAGGCCCATTGTAAGAGAATGAAAATTATAAATGAATAGGTCCACACTGTAGAGTGTACATTTAAGTAGGATAACAAATTTTCAATAATATGCCTATCTCTCCCCCTCTCTCAAGTTCAATTGAAACCTTCACCCAAAATTGACAACGTTTTGCCAAAAAAAAAAAAAGTTTTTAATATGTGAACCATCTTTTATATTTTTTTATTGGTGTACATGCAGGAGGTTCTCAAGCCGGAGGAGCCGGAAAACCTATCGGCGGAGGTGGATTTGCCGGTGGAGGATCTCAAGTTGGTGGCGGAAACGGTTTCCGTCCTGGCGGTTCACAAATCGGCGGTGGCGGTTTTGTTAACCCAGGAAGCTATGGCAGCTACGGGTCTAAAAGCAGCGGAGTTGGAACCTCAGGGACTAAAAGAAATATGATTGAAATAATAATGAGTATTGAGTGTCAAAGCCAAAAAAAACCCTGATTTTTATAATTTTTAAAATTCGCTAATTAAAACAAACCAAAACTCCTCAAAGATTACTTTCATGACTTAAATATGAAAGTCAAGCAATTGGTCAGCAACAAAAAGCTAAAATTATTACCAGACAGTCACGCCCCGTATTTAAGTACTGCACGCACTAGCAGTCTAGTTATTTTTTTATTATGATAAAATTTAATGCGTTTTTCTTTGTATTAAAGGTTACAGCTATAAGTCCCCCGGGTACGGTACAAACTTCGGAACCAGTTTTCCCGGCGGAGTGGGCCGGTACGGGAGCAGCGGGAAGATGCTTGGCCTGGGGGTCGGAGCTGGATTCCTTGGCGGAGCAGCTGTAGGAGCTGTGGGTGGGCTTGCTGCTCTTAGCGTCTATCACAGGTAGAATTTAAAAAGGCTCACTGGTCATGGAAAACAAACTTTGTTCGTTCATTTTTCTATTTTCTATGTTGTTTACTTATAAAAGGGTTTACTTAAATCTGCAAAGTTTTGTAAATTTGAAAATCGTTTACCAACTGCAAGCATTTATTTTTCTTACAAGAAGCCAGCCAAATTTTTAACCAGATCTAACCAAAAATGGATGCCAAATTTATTTTTATTCGTCGATTTCTCATTTTTTGTTTTAGTGCAAAAAATTTGTCTACGTTACTATAAGAAAACTTTTACATAATCTCCTGACTTATTGATTTATTTTTTCCCCTTCAAAATCGTTATTTTTCATCGAAAATCCTGTGCTTCTGTAATAAACGTTCTTTTTCCTCTTTAAGGGCTTTTCAATAATCTGAAGCTTTAGTCACAAAAAAGTTGTGGGCTTTTTAAAATTTTTTTCTTCTTACGGACTGGACTTCTTAAGGCCTTGTACCCCTACCCTATGCATTAAAGAAAATATTCCAAAAAATCCTTAACATTTTTATTCCTTAACATTTTAAAAAATAATTCACAGTAATAACGTCAAAAATAAGAGTGCTAGGGCAAAAAAAAACTAAAGGGGACGGGGAGTCTGTAATAGGGTTAAACTGCGACCGAGAAATTTTAGATCTCAAATTAATAATGTCCAGGTATCAGGAGTACAATCGACTGCTGTATTTTCACCAGTATGGACACTCGTGGAACAACCCTTACTACAACAATTACCAACAAGGTAATTAACGAGGGAGGGGTGGCGGGGCCCGCATGAGCCATGCGTTATTATCTGCAAATCGCAGAATTCGCAGATTGACATTCGAACCTTCACAAAGCAAATTCTATGCTATGTAGGTCATTTTGAGACATCTATATTTCAACGTTATATTTGTTAATTCTTTGATATAGCAAACAACGGAAAAAAATTCTGTTTCCTGTTTAATTTTCATAATTCTTATTAATTTCTAATAGGTTTTTGTATCAGTAGGAGTCCTTTTAACTCCTATTGTACCTACTTTCATCCTTTCAATTTTTCATCCTTTTTCCTTTTATCCCTATATCCTTTAATTCTTTAGGAACCTTTATTGGTGTGTCTATATCTACTTTCATAAGTTCATCCTCTTATTCTTTAATTGTTTTGGAACCTGTATTGGTGGGAGTTCTTTAAACTCCTACTGTACCTACTTTCATAATTTCATGATTTCATTCTTAAATTCTGTTATGAACTTGTATTGGAGGGTGTCCTGTTAACTCCTACTGTACCTACTTTCATAATTTCATGATTTCATTCTTAAATTCTGTTATGAACTTGTATTGGAGGGTGTCCTGTTAACTCCTACTGTACCTACTTTCATCATTTCATCCTTTCATTCTGAACTGTTTAGGAATCTGTATTGGAGGGTGTCCAGTTAACTCCTACTGTACCTACTTTCATCCTTTCATCCTTTCATTCTGAACTGTTTAGGAATCTGTATTGGAGGGTGTCCTGTTAACTCCTACTGTACCTACGGTTTCTGTGATTGTCGGCCCGGATTTTATAAAAAGTTTGGATCCTGCTGGGCTAATGGACAACAAGCTATAGGTTTTTAATAAATGTTTACTATGAATTATTTAAAGTAAGTGTTTACAATACAGTGATAACCAAAAATAGGAAGACGACTTACAGACCAAAGTTATGCCTTTGAATAATCTAATAAACAGAGACACAGCAATTGTTTAGTGTAAACAGACCCCATTAACTTGATAAGTTATTTAATAAGTTACTAATTGCACTGTTGGCTTTGTAACAGCATCAAGTACACAAAAGTATTGCTGTAATGTTGTCTTCCTATTCCACAGTTTTCTGGTTATCACTGTATAACAATATAGAACAAGTTGAACAAAATTAGAGCAAATATTAATTGGCAGATTTTAGCCAAATTTTATTTTGTCTGTTTTTAAATTTGCACTGGGGAAAACATTGCATTGGTTGTTTTAGCTTGACAACCAAAATTTAGGAATTCTTTCAGATTATTTTTTAAAAATTACTTATTTTAACAAAAATTCAGGTTTAAAGAAAAAAATGATTATTGCTCAATTGAGTTGATGAACAATCCCTTTATTGTTTAGATCCTAGAATAGGGGATCCATTTACTGCTTGTGGAACAGAACAGGATTGTCAAAAGATTGATATTAATCTGATCTGTAATACAAACCTTACTTTACAGGCCGGGGGCAGGTCGGTTAATTTATCCTTCCATCCTTCGTCTTTTACTTTCATCTTTTATCCTTTTATCATTTCATCCTTTCATCTTTTCATCCCTTCATCTTTTATACTTTTATCATTTCATCCTTTAACTCTTTTTCCTTTCATCATTTCATACTTTCGTCTTTTTTATCCTTTCATCCTTTCATCCTTTTAAACTTAACTTTCATACTTTACTCGATGAAGGCTTTCGGAAATCCATTTATGTAAGCCTAAAAATCTGCAACATTTTTTGTTTTTGATGTTCGAAGAAAAATAGCGACTTAAAAAGTAACATTTTTAAAAGCTAAGATTGTTTTATAGAAAAAGTGACGCGAAGTGCCTTAAATACTTTTGTAATATTTTTACAGCCAATTGGAAATCTTTATTTTCATATTTTTACAAATTACATTATTAAGCGACTGATAAATGTTTTTAATGCAGATGATCATTTTTCCAATATTCTTCTTTCCTCGTTACTTTTATTCACTTGATTTAACTGTCTTGTATAGGCTGAAAGGCTAATACAGTTCCGAACATAACTCGTAAAGCAATTTGTTATTCTTATTAGTTTTCTGCAAATCTGTAGTCTGTACTCTGGATATAGATACGCAGGATTAGTCTGGCGGTGGTTTTGGGGGGTATACACTCATATTGGGGTCTCTAGCATATTTCATTTCCTAATATTCCTTAAGTCCGGAAAGACATCTTTAGACATCTATTATATATCCATGTCTTTAGTAGAATATTGAATTATTATTTATCCTTATTTTTGTAGATGTGAGTGTAGGAAGGATATGAGATGGAATCAAGCAAATTCAGGTATTTTCTTAAAAGATTTTTTTAGTTTTCTTTGAGCAAATTAAGGGTAGATGTGTGGCAAACGGGGAGCTGGATTAAAGGGCATAACACGTATTACTCTCCGGGAAATTTAAACAGTGTATAAACATAACTTATAGCATTGTCCTAGGAGGCTGGTTTTTTGCATGCGAGCTTAAAATTATGTATATTATATGCATTTTTTGGTTTTGAACGGATCTTAGCAAAAGTGCGCGCGCGCGCTTTTTGTTAAAAAATAAGACTTTTTGACAGTAAATCAATCATAACTTTGTAGAGGATATGAAATCCCCGACGTCGGGGTCACCACTTTAGAAGTACATTTATTGCTTCTAGATATAAATATATATTAAATAAGTGTATAAAAGGAGAGGAAGTTGAGAAGGTCTTCTCCGGTTCCAGGGTCCGACACAACTCTTTTGCGGATTTCATAATCCTCTTTCGGGGATTTCATATCCTCTACAACTTCATTAATTGCACTTAAACATTTATCCTGATACTCGTGAAAAAAATTATGCGCTCAAAAAATTCACATCCAAAGCCATAAATGTCCGCGCGCGCGCGCAATAAAAGAAAATATTTTTGAATACTTATTTGCTAAGTTTGGCCTAAGTCAGAATAAAAGTAGCATGAGATACATCAAACTATAGCAAAATTGGGGTAAGAAATTTATTTCTGAGGTCAAAATAGACATTGGAGCCTACTGACCGGCGCGCTAGTAGCCGGCAGTTGCATGATGGGTCAACTTAGCACAGATTTTACATGTTGTATGCAAAAAAAATGCGGTTTCCTCTGAAATAACTTTCCTTGCATTAGTACCTTGTCTATAACTAGCTTATAGAACGGAATGAAAATCTTTATTAAATCTTAAAATTAGAAACGTCGCAAAGTATTTTTAATTTGTAAATGTTATAAATGTGCCCAAATATGTAAATATATATCTGTCATCATCGCTAATAACAACATTTTTACCTTTTTTTATAGATAAACTCGTTGATAAAGATGAAATGAGTATGTAATTAAGAGGCGTAGTCATGGGGGGGGGGGCTATGGGGGACTCAGCCCCCCCCCCCCTGTGGACCAGTGAAAATTATGGATTTCAGGGGGTTTTTAGGCCCCAACGGTTGCTGAGACCCCTCCCCCTGACTACGCCCCTGGTTTGCATGACGTACTGTGCGTAATCCATTTATATTTTAAACAATTATATCGGAAATTTATTTTATTTTAATTAATTTTTAACATTAGTGCTGAAACAGTTTTAGTTTGATTTTGACCTCTCCTCTCAATTCTGTTAACTAACAAGTATTGCGCTATCAGTTCTCCCTTTGGGTTCTTTCTAACATTTGTAAAATAAATCATTCTTTTAATAATAATGTTTGAAGAAAGTTAAGAAGAATAATGTTTGTATGTCAGGTTGTCAGCTGTACCTGGATGTTGACTGTAGTAAGATCACTTATGACACCCCACCCTCTCCAACTGTTCTGGCAGCTGTCAATTCTACTCTGGAGAAGATAGAACAGCTAAACAGCACAGCTAAATCGGAGAACAACAGCACAGCTACATCGGAGAACAACAGCACAGCTACAACGGAGAACAACAGCACTGCAACAGATTTAAATAGCACAACAACCGATGCGAACAGCCCAGCGACTAATTTGACTAGCACCGATAGTGTGACTATAACTGATACCAACTCGACTTTGAAATCAATCAATGAAACGCTGTCAACTAGTCTACTTAGCAGCATAGGTAACTAATTAGTCATCTGTAAATACACTTTTCTTCACGATAATATGAAGAAAAGTTTTGTTCATACCAAAACATTTATTAAATGTTCTAATATAAAAAAGAATAATTTATCTTGAATATTACTGCATTACAGGAATAATTTCGCTGGGAGGTAGTTTTTGTGACATTTTCAGGGAGTCAATATATCTTTTGTTTCTATTGTCAGTGCATTAAGTTAAAATATGTTTATCATTTATACTCTAAAAACAAAATAAAATATTGTAGCACAAAAAATGTAATAGCTCCTTAAAAGAAAAATTAATCCCGATTTAGCAAGTTTTAATTTTGATTTTTACTGGTTTGTTTTGTTTCGATTCGATATTACAATGGCAGTCGCTTTAAATGAGACAGACAAAAAGTCTTTTGATTTTTTTGTGCAAATGATTTATTCCTTGTTTAGATCCAACCAAGGCTAGTGAGGCTGATTTAAAGGAAGCATTTTGTCGAGATATTGATACATTTAGCTGGGAGCTGGCTCAACCCCAAGTTAGGCAGGATCAGGTAGATAAACAGCTGTAGGTCTTACGATTCAATCAATTTAAGTTTTACGATCATAATTTAATTTTTTCAAAAACATATTTATTTAATACTATTTAATTTAAAAATTAAACGTCTATTCAAACAATATTCTGGAGCGTTACATGTTCTAAAATTGAATTCAAATTCCTTTTACTTCAAATAAAAATGGAATTACTTATAGGGATGCAGAGCACCCTCAAGAATAATGATATTTTAGTACATATTTGAGATCAGAACAATCTTTATAAATGTGTTTTTTACTTCCTATCGTGGAGTGTTTGATTGTGCATGCCTTGTTATTGTTTTAATCGCAATGTACTGCATGGTGGAAGATACACATGACGGAACTATTACAGTGTACAATGTAAATAAATATGTAAAGTACGGTGTACAGTGTATAAGCTACAGGACTATTGACACTAAACAGTTAATTGAGACATGAATTTGGAAATTAACATCTGATGGAGAATGTAAGCGTAATTTCAGTGACCCTCCATGCAAAGATGACACTCCCCGCTTAATAATGGTATCTTTAACAGCTTTGTTTTAAAAAGTATATATTATTTTCAATTGTTGGTTCTCTATAAAAATGACATGTGCATTTCCAGCGCAGGAAAACACAAAGTAATTATCAAAATTAAACACTTTTAACCCTAGAAAAACGACAATATCTTCCTCATTATCGATCAGATAAAGATTTCAATAGAACCGTTTTGAATCAGGCATCGTCATCTTTTCGTCCAGAGTCACTTGAAATTACACTTACAGTCCCTTTAAGGAGACTTCACAGAAGGCCTTGAACAGTCCAGGCCCAAGGGGGGCCCATGAAAATTAAATTAGAAGGAAGGGGATAGACGATATTTTCCTTCTAACGTGTCATATTAGAAAATCTCTAATACTGGTTTTATTGTAAACAATATCCGAGATTGGTGACAAAACAGTTTTTGGCCATGACAAAACTTTGAACTGTTAACTTAGTTAAAAACTGTTGTTTGTTTACAATAAAACTAGTTCCAGAGCTGTGTACTACACACTATAATGTAAACAAAATACATTTCCGCCTTGACTCATTCTACTTTTACTCGAGGGACATTTGACAATTTAACCCTTATACATCAGGGGGTTGGAATTCTTAGCTTCGGCTAAATTTTATAGTCCCCCCTCCTCGCCTCCTTTTTGAATTCGTGGATTTTTATCCCAGGCCTTGATTTTTTTGATAGGCTGTTTTTAAGGATTTTATTCGAAAGAAAAAATTTGTTTAAAACCATGGTAATACAGTGGGACTAATAAATTGTGGAATATGAATACAGATTACATTAGAGATGTGTTTTATCACAGTTTTCCTCAGTTTATGTTTTATTCCTCAATTTCCTCGTTTGAATGGCTTTTGTATTAGACCCAAAGACTAAAATGGTGGAGGGGGTTGGTGAAGGGTTTCTATGTCTTTTTTGTATTTTTTTTCTGCATTTATATTAGATATAATTCGCACTGTTTATACATTGCAACTTATTTTTGAAGTTTGAAAGTATGCAACTTTTGGCTTTGGCAAATTCTTAACGATTTTATATAGAGCAAAGGGACTGCCTATGAAATTTAAAGCAGCCTTCTATTTTAAGGGCTATATGTCTGATTCACAACAAACGATAGTCTTTTTTTTGCATTGAACACAGCAGCAAATCGGCTTTTTACTCTGAAAAAAATAAAATTTTTTACCCACTACTATGGTTTATATATCCGCAAGTTACTTACACGAGAACTGCAACATTAAATTACCAATGTTAAGATTTAAAAAGCGAGGATAATTCAAGATTTTTGCTTAAAGGGAGTGTTCGCGAAAAATGAAAGGGGGTATAGGCTTACGGCGAAAAATATTCGCTTTTGATCGCTACTGTTCGTCAATAAGGAGAAAATTGGTAAAAACGAATTATACTGAAGAACGTAGTGTCCATACAGATTCAGAAAGTTCAGGGTGGCCAAAATGTACGGATTGTACGGATTGATTTTTTTTTAACCCTAAAATTGTACGGATTGTACGGATTGTACGGATTTGTTTTCAAATTGTACGGATTGTACGGATTTTATCCTGGAAAATACACCGTTTTTTTAAAATTTTCACTCATTTCAGCAAATTTTTCATGAAAATAAAAAAAAATTCTCGTCAAAATGAAGTTAGTTTAACTTATTTTCTGCATTCTAAATAATATTAGATTGATTAATGTTTCAATNGATTTTTTAAAAAAATGTACGGATCTTTAAAAAAATGTACGGATTGGTTTAAAAAAATGTACGGATTGTACGGATTTTTTAAAAAAAAATTGTACGGATTGTACGGATTGTTTTTCGAAAATTGTACGGATTTCTTCTGAAAATGTACGGATTTTTGTACGGATGGGTTCAAAAAAGTTTTGGCCACCCTGAAAGTTGAAATATACGACTCGGATCGTAAAAAATCAATTTAATTTCAAACAAATCGTTCAAAAATTACAACCTGTAGTATTATTTTTCGACGAGTTTGTATATAGTTCATTGCAATTTCTGAATTTGTATGGACGTAAGTCGTTTTTAACATTGTTATCCTTATATACGCAACAGATAGAAGTAAGATAAGATTATTTTTCGCCGTAAGCCATCCCCTTTCATTTTTCGCGGACACTCCTTTTTTCCTGTCAGTGTCAATGAAATTCCGTTGCCAACCATAAAAAGTTTACAATTAATTTCAGCATCAGAATTATAAGTCGGGTTAAAAGTTTCTATCTATAAAATATCCTACCTGTTAATTGTCCTATATATGAAATGTTCTTTCTTTATAATGTCCTACCTGTGAAATTTAAATGTCATGGCTTTGCAAGGTCTTGTATAAAAGTCCATCCATAAAAAGTTAATCAATGAAATGTCCCAACGAAATAACTTTACAATCGCTTTATATTTGAATAAGTACAATGGAGGATAAACAATTGTGGCCTTGCCCTAAAACATACATTGACTTTCCATGTACAAAACGTTCTTCAGTTTTATTTAGCAAAGTTTGCCAGTTCTCAATACTTGTTAGCCTGCTTTATCAATGGTTTTACAAAAAAAATTATTTTTATCGGTTTAAAGGGACTGTCGTTAAAATTTGAAGTAAGTTGTTGATATTTCTTAATATTTTGTATTTTTCATGATCTGAGAGTTACTTTTGAAAACATTTATTCCTGTTTCGAGGATTTTTGATAATGAAGACGACATTTTCATATTTTCAATGAATGTTCGAAAATCCAGCGCCAGCGAAAATTATTTAAAAAAACAAAATCAAAAATATTCATATTAACTATACGAATGCGTCGAAAAATAATCGCATTAAGCCCCCTTTCATTTTTCGCGAACACTTCCTTTAAAATTACGTATACAGTCCCTTTAAGGTCCATCGAACTTGGAACTTTAAAATTGTTAACGCTTACCTTTAGACGCCATGGCTTTAAATGAAGCTATCTCCTTTATTTTGTTGTCTTTTGAAATATACCTACTTTTAAAAAATCTCGTGAATGACAGAAAATGTTTATTGGTATATACTATATATATTTAGTAGTGGTAAAGGAATTAGCCCTCCCCCCCTCCACACCCCATTTAAGCACTTGCTTAATGCGCGCACCCAACCCACCTTTGGTGCCATAAGGGTTAAAGACTAACAGTCGTATTTCTAATATGGACGACTGAGACTGGTATAAACGGGACTGGACTGGGTATAGGACTAGCTGTTGCTATTCTAGTCCTCGGCTGCTGTTGCCTCGGGTGCTGCCTTAAACGAGTTAAAGACTGCTTCAGGTTACATTAAAGTTTTTTAAACATATATTTGAGGAAAATGAAGATAACGCCAGTTCTTCAAAAACCTTTTCCATTCATATTTACTTTTAAGATAAACCAAAGGATATATATTTTCTGTAAACCCCCCCCCCCCTCTCTTTAAACATCAAATTTTATCTTAGCTGCATATCTTTTGTTGTATTTTTCTCTGAATTTGATAGAACAAAAACTGTTCAGTGGTAAAATGTTTTTAGGTATCATGTATTATTAACAAAAGGAATATCAGTCGTCATCGTATATATCAATACAATGAAGACTACTTTCGATTTGAATTTTTCTACCAAGCTTTTAAACCGTATTAATACACATAAACATAGAAACTGAGAGAAGCTGTCAAAACCGCGTTTATATCTCTACTTGTAAACAATTGGAATTTGAAAAACTAGTTAGAAATCAAAACTTAAATAGAAAAGTCGTTTTCACTGTATTGATAAAAACGCCGACCACTGTATTAGCCACATATATCCAAAATAATCAGAAAATAAGTATATTTTTTGTTTAAAATGAAGATTGAAAATGAGGAAGGGAAATGTGATGGTAAAATAAATAATTTTGTTGGCTAACTAATGCAAATCTTAGGGTCCTAATATATACTATTTATTTTTTTAACATCATGTTTGTTTTATTGTATGTATCTCTATGTAACATTAATTTAAAATTAATTTAACATCTCGTGAAAATCCGTGAAACATCTGTGAAAAATTCTCAATTCATTCATACTGATGATTACATAAAAGCATGAAACAATTTGTTTATGAACAAAATGTTATAAGAAGATTGTTGCGTTTTAACTGATATACTATTTATTTTAGATATTATTATCTAAAACTTTTTCTAAAATGTATTATTATAAAGTATAGTAAGAATTTGCAGATTTTTTATTTATTCTTCGCGCATTTCTTCTCTCTAAAAGGGAAGATGATATTATATCACTTATTGTGTTTAGGTCTAATAAAGCTCAGTATGCTGATGAGTTGGGTCCTGTTAACTTCAACAAATATGATAATCAAGTAACCTCTTATCAGGTAGAATATGTACAAATTATGATGCAGGGTGTACCACAAAACATGGGAGTCTAGACGAATTATAGGTCGTCTTGGAATTGTGAAATAATTTTCGGTTTTTATTCGTAATTCTAATTTTAGAAGTAAAATTCTTGAGTTAATAATCACAAAATACCCCTATTCTTGGCATTTTCAAAATGTTGTCTGCCTTTTGTGTCATTTCAATATTAACGGAGACATGAAGAATTTCGTTCAGATTTTGACAATTTTGGTTTTATTTAATAAGATTGAAATAATATTGACACCACAAAAAACACAATTTGGAAATGCCAGGACTAGTAAAACTTTGTGATTATTGTTTCAAGAACCATGTATGTAAAAAAAGTTGGTTGACGACTGAATGTCACAAATAAATTCAAAGATAATTGTCTTGCTACTGTCATGTTTCGTGGGATGTATTTAAAAAAAGCTTAAATTCAATTTAACATTAATATGATGATAACAACTAAATATTAAATTCTTTTTTTTACCTTTTTCATAAAGATTTAATATGGAAATACTACTTTTCCCTGCAGGATACGCCTAACTATTCCGCCGCTGGGAGTCAAGTCCATCTTGCTTCCGCCGCTTATGGTGGCGGAATGTATGCCCCAGCTGATCCTGCATACTCTGGTGGCGGACATATGCCTTATCCCATGGCGGATCAAGGAAATCTACCCTACCCTCCGCAGCCGAATCAAAACCAACCCTACCCTCCCCAACCCAATTCTAATCAGCCCTACCCCCCTCAACCGTATCAAAACCAACCCTACCCTCCCCAACCTACCCAGACTTACCCTCCTCCATACGCACCATAAACCTGTAGTCTTCCACTAGTATCATGTTAGGGGTATAAATTCTTGAAATTTCTTCTTAACAAATTTTTTCCTCACAAATGTTTAGTAGTTTAGTACATTGGTCGGCGTTTATATCAATACAATAAAGACGATTTTTCTAGAAAAGTTTTTATTTCCAATAAGCTTTTTTTCAAAATAAATACTAAAAGAATCTTATTTATGACATTTTCTCTTGGTTTCCATTTAGTGTGCTTCCAAGTTGTTTGAAAGCTTGGTTGAAATTAAAATAGAAAGTCGTGTTTATTGTATTGATATATGCGACGACCACTGTATGTTTGTAAAAAAAGTTCACACTTAATGTCCACCTATATTTTTTCAGAGGATCAAAAATCATATTTTAAATTTCATTGCACTGTTTGTGACTACAATATTTATGTTTTATTCCATTGTATTTTTTTAACATTTTTTTCAGTTTTTAATGAATATAAGCAAGTTCTGCCATATTTTTATTTACACATAAAGTTTTACTAAAATCCCAAAGAGGAATGTAAACAAGCGCATTACTGCTCATTCCTCCCAGAATCTGCAGTATACCTTATTTGTAAACAAAGTTATGAGAGTGCTTTGCTTATTCCTTGCTATAATCCCGACCAATTAATTTTTCAAGATTGTCGACTGTCGACGATTTATTATTATAAAAAGTTCACTTAAGGTATTTTCCTGGAAATCCCTCCCCCGCCCCCTTCCCCCCCCAAAAAAAAGAAATTACTTAATGTCGTGAAATTATAATGGTTTTATATTTTTTATTTTTTATTAAATTTTGCCTAATTTTACAAGGGATTTTTTTTATCATGAAGGATTATAATACCCTAACCCAAAAATTTAAAGAGTTATTTAAAATCTATTTTTATGTATCATTTGATTTTTCTTTCACTCTAAATTTCTTTGAAAAATATTTGCCTGAATTTTTACATTCTTCAAAGAACGATTAATATTTTCAAGATTTTTCGTCAGCCTACACGACATATAAACTCTTTCAGTCTTTTGTGGACTTCTTTTTGAGATTAAAAAAGTTGTGTGCTAACCAATTCCGTCCATGAACTGAATTCGAATTTAATATGATGTGATATTGATATTTTTTGTTATAGTTTTAAGACAAATAGATAGATATGTGATATTTTAATACTTTTGTAATTTAAATATATTTTCAATAAAACATATTTAACATGCTGAACTAGGTCACTAATTCTGCCGTTAAAAAAAAACCAGTAGATTTAAAAGGTTAGCAGGCCGGAAATATATTTTAAAAATAAATAATTTGGAATTCTAAAGAAAGAGTAAAGGAAAGTTACATATTTATTATTTACATTACAGTTAATATAAATGTTAGTGTATTTTGTTAGTATTTTTAAACTAAGAACGAGCAACTTTTAGAAAAAAGAAAAGAAAGATATTTTTAAGAAGGCTAGAATAAATTGGAATATTGAAAGAGGGTTTGGATTTGGAATAATGAAAGCAGGTAAGAATTGTATTTTAAAGGAATAAAGAAATGGATATATAAGAAGTGTAGGGAAAATAGAAAATCGAAAAATGGATATAATAAATGGAATAATGAGATGGATAAAAAAATGTAAGGTTAATAGAAGTAACGACAGAAGGTAGGAAAGATAAGAATAAAGAGAGACAAAATAAGGGTAGGATAAATAGAAGTAATGAGAGAAGTTAGGAAAGATAGGATTAAAGAGAGACAAAATAAGAGTAGGGTTAATAGAAGTAATGAGAGAAGGTAGGAAAGATAGGATTAAAAAGAGACAAAATAAGGGTAAGGTAGGAAAGATAGGAATAAAGAGAGACAAAATAAGGGTAGGGTAAATAGAAGTAATGACAGAAGGTAGGAATAAAGAGAGACAAAATAAGGGTAGGGTAAATAGAAGTAATGACAGAAGGTAGGAATAAAGAGAGACAAAATAAGGGTAGGATTATTGCAAGAATAATAAAAAGATCAAAAGGTAGTTAAAGAAAATGGGAATAAAAATAATTAAAGATATTGATAAAAGGTAGGGTTAATGCAAGCATTGAGAGAAAGTAAGAAATATATTTAGAAGGTTAGGACAAGTAGCATTGTTAAAGAAAGTATGAAAGATATTGAAAAGAAGGTTAGAACAAATAGGATTAATATAGAATGTAAAAAAGATATTTAAAAGAAATTTAGGACAAATGGGATGATTAAAGAAAAAAAAATATTTAAAGGAAGCTTAGGAAAAGTAAGACTATTAAAGAAAGTAAGAAAGATACCCAAAAGAAGGTTAGAACAAGTAGGATGAATAAATAAAGTAAGAAAGATATTTAGAAGAAGGTTAGGATAAGTAGGATTATTAAAGAAAGTAAGAAAGATATTTAAAAGAAGGTTAGGACAATTATGATGATTAAAGAAAGTAAGAAAGATATTGAAAAGAAGGTTAGGACAAGTCGGAATAATAAAGAAAGTAAGAAAGATATTTAAAAGAAGTTTAGGTCAAGTAGGAATAATAAAGAAAGTAAGAAAGATATTGAAAAGAAGGTTAGGACAAGTAGGATTAATAAAGAAAGTAAGAAAGATATTGAAAAGAAGGTTACAAGTAGGATTAATAAAGAAAGTAAGAAAAATATTGAAAAGAAGGTTACAAGTAGGATTAATAAAGAAAGTAAGGAAGATATTGAAAAGAAGGTTAGCACAAGTAGGAATAATAAAGAAAGTAAGAAAGATATTTAAAAGAAGGTTAGGACAAGTAGGATTATTACAGAAAGTAAGAAGGATAATTAAAAGAAGGTTAGGACAAGTAGGATTAATAAAGAAAGTAAGAAATATTTTTATTTAAAAGAAGGTTAGAACAAGTAGGGTTGTTAAAGGTATTTAGTAGAAGGTCAGAACAAGTATAATTATCAAAGAAAGTAAGAAAATATTTAAAAGAGTTGGTGAAAAAAGTAGGATTATTAAAAAAATAAGAAAGATACTTAAAAAATGGGTAGGACAAATAGGAATAGTAAAACTAAAAGTAGGTAACAAAGATACGTGCTAGAAGGGTAAGATAAATTAGAAGTATGAAAGTAGGTAAGATATTTAAAAGAAGGGTGAGATAAAAAGAGATGGATTAAAGAAGGGTAGGATAAAAAGAGATGGATTTAAGAAGGGTAGGATAAAAAGAGATGGATTAAAGAAGGGTTGGATAAAAAGAGATGGAATAAAGAAGGTTAGTATACAAAATGATGGATTAAAGAAGGATAGGATACAAAAGGATGCATTAAAGAAGGGTAGGATACAAAAGGATGCATTAAAGAAGGGTAGGATACAAAATGATGCATTAAAGAAGGGTAGGATACAAAAGGATGGATTAAAGAAGGGTAGGATACAAAAGGATGGATTAAAGAAGGGTAGGATACAAAAGGATGGATTAAAGAAGGGTATGGATAATAAGAAAGAAGATAAGAAAGGGGCAGGATAAATAGAAATAGTATATAATGAAGGTAAAAAAGATATTTAAAAGAAATTAAGGACAAGTAGGATTATTAAAGAAAGTATGAATGATACCAAAAAAGGATGGTAATAAATTCTAATAATGAAAGAAAGTAAGAAGTTTTATCTGAAGGAATGATAAAAGAAGGAATAGAAAGGTGAAGGCCTTATTCCTTTTGTTTTGTGACTGCATATAGTACTGCCTGTATCTGCATAGGCAACATGCCTGGTTTTTGTGTGTTAAAGGTGATTTTCTGCGTGTGCCAATTAACCTTGCAACTCTGGCAAAATCCTGCAAAATCTTTCCTTCCTTCATTGTCACGATCGTTCTATCAGTTTCTTAATATTTAAAGGGACTAGACGTAATTTCAAGGGATTGTTTATCAGTTTCTTAATATTTAAAGGGACTAGACGTAATTTCAAGGGATTATTTATCAGTTTCTTAATGTTTAAAGGGACTGTAGACGTAATTTCAAGAGATTGTTTATCAGATTCTTAACATTTAAAGGGACTAGACTTAATTTCAAGGGATTGTTTATCAGATTCTTAATATTTAAAGGGACTAGACGTAATTTCAAGGGATCGTTCGATCAGTTTCTTAATATTTAAAGGGACTAGACGTAATTTGAAGGGATCGTTCTATCAGATTCTTAATATTTAAAGGGACTAGATGTAATTTCAAGGGATCGTTCTATCAGATTCTTAATATTCAAAGGGACTGTACATAAGTTCAAGGGATCGTTCTATCAGATTCTTAATATTTAAAGGGAGTGTAGACGTAATTTCAAGGGATCGTTCTGTCAGTTTCTTAATATTTAAAGGTACTAGACGTAATTTTAAGGGATCGTCAAGTTAAAGAGTGACAGGACCGATTCACAACGTATCCTTTAAACATTCATCTGATAAAGAAAGATATTGTTGTTTTTCTATCTTGATAAGTTTTAATACCTATTCATTCTTGACCTAAAGATGAACGAAAGAACATCATTTTTCGTGAACGATAAACAAACAGTTTGGATCGTTCAGAGAAACAAAAAAATAAATGATATAAAATCGTTGACAATCATTCACATTTAAGGATCAGTCAAAACGTTAACATACGATTTATAAATCATTCGTTTGAATAAACTCGAAAAAACTATCGTTTTGTTTAACTATTTTTAACGAACTTTTTAAAAACCATTTGTTTTTTACTGAACAAACGATTATTTCGAACGAACTTAAAAATATCTTTCTTTTCTATATATATATATGTGTGTAAAAGTATGGGTATACTTTCGTTAACGGAACATTTCCTAACCCTGCCGATATAATGGAGCATTTTCGGCCTACAATTACATAATTTCTACCAATTCTATTTTTTGCTTTTTTCGTTAATTTTTACCAAAGTGCTTGACGACTTTAGATTGGATTAGGATAAAAAGAAGCGATATTTCCAATGATTACAATTTAAAGAAAGTATTCGCCCGAAAAATGGAAGGGGGTTTAGGCAAATTCCAAAATTGAATTCGATATCGATCGGCGCGCTACTAATTTTCTTCTGTCTCTTGTGTTTTTAAGGAGAAAGCTGTTAAAAACGGCTCATATGGATCATAGATCCCATGACCCATACAGATCGACGGAGTTGCATTTATTTCTACCAAGACCATAGACTAATCATTCCGATATTAAAAGTTATAAATGTCGAATTCAATTAAGGCATCCCTCTGTAATTTAAAAATTATATTTTTAAACATTTTTTTATCAAATGTATTTTGTAGGGTAATTATTTAATTATTTTGAAGGGTAATTATTTAATTGTGCTGTTGCCCAGTTGTACAATTGTTCTTAGTCCAATCCATCTTTCTATTGTTCTCCAATTCTGTCTGCACTAATACTATTTCTTCTCATGAAATTATTTATTGTTATTATATTGTTCTAGCCATCTTATCCTCCCATTCTTTTTGTCTGGTAATTTAAAATGAAATGTGCCTTGGAACCCCCCCTTCCCCTGAAAACATCAACCTATCGTTGTTTTGATTATAGAAACTAGCTGAAGTGCCAGCAAGGAGTATCAAATAGAAGGGAGATACAACTGACGCGGCCCGCCTTACCATATGATTATACATGCTTTGCAGACGGTACTTCATTTAAATAAGAAATATTTGTCTGATGTACAATTACCGCGAATACAATAACCTATTCTGAATATTTCTTATGAAAATGGAGTACCCGTCTGCAAACCATGTATAATCAGATGGTAGGGCAGGCCGCGTCAGTTGTATCTCCCTTCTATTTCATACTCCTTGAGTGCCAGGCTTTTCCCGTGGAATTTTATGAACATAAAAAGATTCGAATTTTACAAGAAAAAATCGAATTTTGAAAAAAATGTCGAATCAAAATTTTTAAAATTTCAGCCAATTTGGTCCAGCCGTTAAAGCCAGCTATAACTAACATATATATAATAAATCTCGCAATCTCGACATAAAGAACAATTTTTTTTTCAAAATCTGAATTTTAAAATATTTTACGAGTTTATAGCCGCAGCGCTTTGCCCAGAATCAACATTATTGCTACAGCGCTCGGCTCTCAGGCTTTTCTAGTGTAGCTTTTAGATCAGAAATTGTCCCTAACCCAACCTGGACAAAAATGGTAATATAACTAATATATAACTACGAAGTTTTATAAATTTTTAACAGTTTTAAAGATCT